TCCTGACACCATCCCTACTCGTTCTCACCACCTTCTTGGTCAATGACTCTTCCTGCCCCCAAGGCTCCTCCACTCTGCCAATCAGTCCTGCTGAGCAAATGCTCCTCCTCCCAGGATCCCGTCAGACTGGTCCTGGATGGTCCCAGTGCCTGAGTCTGACATTTCCATCTCTAGAGATGCTGTGAGATATTCCACCAATATGGCTGGACATAGCTTCTCCCAAAGTCACAAGTATGAGGTCGCTTGTAACTCCGTGCTCACCCTTCTTGTCCTCCTTCTACCTTCTTTCTGTGTTGCCATCATAACATGTTGATGCCCTCAGAAGCATCAGCAGTGTCAAAAAGAGGCAAATAAATGCCAGCTTCTTACTAAGCTGTGAGCCACAGTATCTGGTTTCTGTGATGACTACACGCAGGCACACTGGCATGTGTAAAATCAGTCATGTCACAGAGTTGGGAAAGTTGTGACCCTCGCAGGCAGGTTAAACAGTGTGCAGCAACCAGTTCCAGATGTCACATGTGACTCAAAGATGTAGGAAAATAAGAATCATCCTTCATTGTTTCATGGTTCTGATGACTTCAGCTGGCATCATAGACCACAAGGAAGCAAGACAAAAACATACAGGAGGGGAAAATCCTAGGATTCTTTTTTCTTTCATATATATTACACTATACCTATAAATAATACAGATAATATAATAACAGGGCATGTATTGCATGCCTTGTAATCACAGCTACTCAAGAGACTGAGGAAAGATCATAAGTTCGAGGCCTGCCTGTGCAACTTAGAGAGAGCTTGTCTCAAAATAAAAATGTAAACAAGGGCTAGGGAAGTAGCTTAAGTGGTAGAGAACTTGTCTAGCATATACAAGGCCCTGAGTTCAATCTCATGTACCAAAGTAAATAAATTAATATTACAATATATGAGCTGGAGACATGGCTCAAGTGGTAGAGCACCTGCCTAGCAAAAAGCCCTGAGTTCAAATCCCAATAACACACACAAAAAATGTGTTTAACACAATATATTTTATAAGATATCATTAAATGTAAGTAATGTTTATATGTAATTTAGATAAATAAAATACCTCAATGGAAAATGATTAATAGTTAGGACCGTCACCATTTTATACCCTCAGATTTTTCAAATCCTGTGAATCTACAGACCAAGTGATCAAGGACAACTCAATCTGAGGACGAGCAGTGACCCCAGATGTGGGCCTTCAACCTGAACTCTATCTGGGCCTCTGGGAGACTTGTGGCTTCTATATAATGTGCTGTGTTATATGGAACTCACACAGTTCCTGTGCCCATGATGTAAGCAGATGCCTCTGTAGAGGGCCTGGTCACCTATTACCCCAGGGACATGTCAAGTTCTGGGGTGGTGTGACTGTTCAGAAGCAGGCAGCTCTGCACCAGGTTTCAACTGTCCCAGAAACCCTGGCTTCATGAAACAAGATTCACAAAACTGCCAGGTGCTCACACCTGTAATCCTAGCTACTCAGGAGGCAGAGATCAGGATGATCGAGGTTCAATGCCAGCCTGGGCAAACAGTTCTCGAGACTCTATCTTGAAAAACCCTTCACAAAAAAGTACTGGTGGAGTGGCTCAAGGTAAAGGCCCTGAGTTCAAACCCCAGAACTGAAAAAAAGAAAAAAAAAAAAATCCACAAAACTAAGCAAAATCCTTGCCTCTGATGATTTCACTTTGGAAACCAGGCCTAAAGAAACGACTCCATAAAACATAAAAACACTTCACATGGAGGGAGGCCCACAGTAGCTGCTTTACACCATGAAGAAAAACTATAGTGGCCTAAAGATCTAAATACAAGAAAAGACAAAGAAAGGGTAACTTATTAACACAGCAGGCTAGAATTCTCATACTCACTGGTCCCTAGTAAAACTGGTTGACCAGCCAGTCTGGTGTGGGCCTTGGGTCAAGTTCTAAACACAGTTCAATTGTGTCACAAGTTCCTAGGGATTGGAGACAACCCAGATTTGCAGATGGCCAGTGCAGAGAGATGAGTCACACAGAGGCCTGCACAGAAAGCCTGAGCTGTAAGAGGGAGCCACAAACTCTATTGCAGAGCCCCAGAGACTGTACCGTGTTGCCTGATATCAGCCACATAGGGGATCCTGGCCAGGGAACAAAGGGTACCCCAAAAGGGGAGAGGGAAACTAAAGCAGGTGAGGGCAGGAGATGGTGTATTCAAGTGTGGGCTCTTCTGCTGAGACACAGGGTGAGGGGTAAAGGGTCCCCAGAAGGACCTGAGTGTGACCCATGGGTGATAAGTTACATGGAGATATGTTTGTCAATGGGGTTGTTTGGGCCATAGTTTGGCAAATGGTTGGAAATAGACTTGGAGGACAAGATGACTGTCAGAGTTTATCTTGTCAGTCTCGTAGTGGGAGTATAGGAAAGGAAGCCTTGTCTAGGCCCAGATGCTGGGAGGACCACCTGGCCTTGGGCCAAAGTCTCCTAAGGGGGCCAGGGGCTTAGGACCCAGAGTGCAGTGGCAGGAGGCTGTGTGGGAGCTGCCGTGGGTCACTGGTTACCTGTAAGCTACAAAAGGAACCAGGAATAAATTAGGAGGAAGGAGCAACTTAACAGGGCTGGCAGAGTGGCTCGAGTGGTAGAACGCCTGTCTCACAAGAGTGAGGCCCTGATTTCAAACCCCAGCACTGCCAAAACAAAAAGAGCAACTTTAAGGAGCCTGATTTTTGGTTTTTTTTTTTGGTGTGGTACTGGGGTTTGAACTCAGGGCCTCACGATTGCTAAGCAGACATTCTACCACTTGAGCTACTCCACCAGCCCTGAGCCTGGTTTGAAAGGAAGGGAGGAATGGCAGCAGCCAACAGATGCTGGTCAAGACTTTTCTGGATATGCTTTCAAACAAACATAGTCACTTAGGACTTAAAGGAGAGAGGTCTCAGAGTCAAGAGAACAAAATGGATGGCTCCGGGGAGAATGCAGTGCCCTTGATTTCTTGAACTAGGAGGCAAGGATGAGATGGAAGGCAGGCTGGTTGTGCCTCTGCATGAATGACCCTTGGGCCTTGTATCAGACCGAGTGGGAGGCTGCCTGAGAATCGGCATCTTCAACCAGCAACTCCAGGCACCCCACCATCTCCTGCACTGCTATGTCCAAACTGGGCCACAAGGTGAGGGCCAGGCTCAAAGGAGACTGAAAGCAAAGGGGAACAGGCTAGACTCAGGAGGTCTCACACCCCTCTCTGGGGTGGGAAAGCACTTAACAGCCACAGATACAATTTCTTCCCTCCTGGGACAGGAGGGTATGGGACTCACCTCCAGGCCTCTATTCCAGGCAGTCCTATAGGAAAGGTGACTGAACACAAGGAACAGTTGTGAGGGGCAGGTAGCACACACCCTGTGGTAGCACAGGGCCACTAGAGGGTGGCCAGGCTGTTAGCTTGCACAAAGGGATAGCTCTGGTGACACAGCCCAAAGAGTGCCTCACAACCTCCGTGCTTCTTTTGATTCAATTGAAGAGAGGCAGTCTATGATAGGCAGAAACTCTTTAATCAGGTTTATCTTAAAACAAAATCCCAAGTTTCCTTTACATCAGTCAGCTCCTCAGGGACAGAGAAAGGTTTACAGTGATGAGATCAACTCAGCATCATCATCCAGCTTCTCCTGATTCTGCAGGACAAGGCACTTCTGGAGTTCTGCCCTACCAGCCAATGAGGACCAGAGCTCTGTAGGTGTGGTTCATTCAAGGCTATCTGGGTTTACTCTGGTCAGGGTCTGACAGCATGAGGTGTTGAATGGACATAGGACTCCATTTGTGCCCACCAGGCTGACACCACTCCACCCAGGATCCTACTTGAGCACTCATCTTCACTGGCATTCTCATATCCACCAGCTCCTCCCTACTCTCAGTTGCTACTTCTGTGAACTTGTATACATCAAAAGTGCAGCAGCCTGGACTATGGTGGGAGTCAGGGTGGGTAGGGCAGCTTTTCAAACCATACCTTCTACTGATCCGAGGAAAGGGAAAGGTGGTGAAAATTTGCCAAAAACAAGGAGATGTGTCCCTTACCCTTTCCACTCTCAGCACCTCCCTTGGCAGTGTTCTTATGTGATAGCATAAAGGAGCTAAAAGAGAAAACTGCTATCAACCTCTGCCAGTTTTCTGGCATGCAAGAAAAGCAGTTTAGAACTTTATAGATGTAGTTGCAAAATGCTGGTGGCACCGGGACCTGTCGACCCATATTCCAGGGCTGAGGACTCTGAAGCTCATTTTGTAAGAAATAGATTGAGGGTCACCCCCATTCTGTGAAGGTGACCAATCCAGGGCCTCAGGTTCTGCAGCATCTGGAGTCCATGGCACCTGGTTGCTACTCAGAAATATACCCTCTTCCCCTAAGCAGCAGCGCCTCAATAACAACAGCAGAACACAGACATACCAGAGATTGTTAGTAAATATTTACAGTATGGAGCTGAGCCAAGGCTCCCTTCAAAACTCGGTCCACAGGCTCAATGTCCAGCTTCTTCCTCAACAGAGAAACTGTCTCCAGCCCATGAATTCTCTCTTGGACTGTCTATAGAATGGGACAGGAAACCCATGGAATGCAGTCTCTTTACATAGATTGGCTCATGGCTGGGACCCAAGCCACCAACAGGGGGCAACTCTGCAGGGACAGCCTGAGACCAGCCACACTCTCTGGAGCCTGTTTCTGTCAGGACTGATCTGATTCAGAGCAGCCACAGCTCCCAAGAAGAGTAGAAGTGGACTCTCACCCCTGACACTTTGGGGAGGTAGGAAGGAGAGGACGGCTACTCAGGACACAAGAGAATGGCCAGGCCAGGCAGGTCCCATTTCCTGAAACTGAGACAGTTTCCCTCTGAGGTAGACAGGCCTCATGGGGAGCAACACACTCGAAGAAAGTGAGGCCAGTGGAAGGGACCCCAGTTGCCTTCTCCACTGAGAGGGTGGTATGTACAGGGAGGAGGGGAATGTGACCAGATGCACCCCCAATTCATGTCATTCAACCAGGAGATCAAACTGCTCAGCAGCTTCAAACTCAGCATTCATGGCCGCGGCCCACTCATCCAACTCTGATTTCTGGGGGAAAAGAAATGGGAGCAGATGAGTGGGGAGGGTTGCTGTATTTGCAGGAGCATGTCATCCACACCCTGAAAACTCTTGCCTTCCTAAGAGCCCAAAACTCTTGAACCCTGGCATGGCCACAGAAACGGCCCTGCCCCACTATGCACAGTGGCACATGCCTATAATCCCAGCTACTTGGGAGGTGGAGATCAGGAGGATCATGGTTTGAGGCCAGCCCCAGGCAAAAGGTTATCAAGACCCCTACTCAACAAAAATTGGGTGTGGCAACGCGTCATCCCAGCTGCGCAGGAAGCCTAAGTAGGATGGTGTTCCAGGTTGGTCTGGGCAAAAACACTTGACCTTTGGGCTGGAGGAGTGGCTCAAGTGTTAAGAGTGCCTGCCTAGCAAGTGCAAAGCCCTGAATTCAAACCCGTACTGGTACCTTGGCTGAAGGAGTGGTAGAGCAGCTGCCTAGCAACTGTGAGGTCATGAGTTCAAACCCCATTATTAACACAAAAAAACAGAAGTTCAAACCCTGGTTCCTCCCACCCTCAAAATTTTAAAAACACGAGACGCTATGTCAAAAATAAACAAAGCAAAAATGGCTGAGGATTTGGCTGAAGTGGTAAAGTGTCTGCCTAACAAACACAAGGTCCTGAGTTCAAATCCCAATACTACAAAAAAAAAGGAAAGGTTCTGTCTCTTACTCACCAAGATCTCTGGTGCCTTTTTCTTCTTTCGTTTCTCTTTCACAACTGGGGGAGAGATTCCAGGGAGTGTTGTATCTGGGGCCAAGGGTTTGGCAAGGACCTTGGGGACCTCAACTGGTTTTGAACCCACCACAGGTGAGACTCTGGACAACTCTTCAGACCCCTTGAAGCCAGAGCAGGACCCATGGGCTGGGGTGGAGGTAGAGTCAGAGCTGATGGTCTGTAGGCGGCTGTAGGAGCGTCTGACTTTCTTAGACATTTCCACATCTCTGGCATCTAGTTCTCCTTCCTTGGAGATGGACTTGATGTTCAGGGAGGACAGCACAGGAGTGGTGGTGGGGGTGAGGGGGACACTGTTTGTCTTGAAGAGGTCCTCCTTAGTAGCCTCCTTAGGAGGGTTGTTCTCTTTCTCCAAGAAAAAAGCAATCTGTACCAAGACAGAAGAGTTAGTTACACTTTAACTAACAGTTAGTGTTAGTTACACAGCTGGATCACTCACTCCCAGAAAGGCCAGAGAATATTGAGGGTGGAAAGTCCTCCCCCACCAAACATTTTTAAAAAATAGTCTGTCACTGCTCCTGAGTCCACTGCAAGACAAGACTTGACATGTCTGCTGGTGCTATTGCTGTTTCCAAGTGTGCCCTATACCCAAGCCCCTCTCACTAACTGACACAAGCCCCCAATACCCCATCTAGACCAACTCAGTGACCTAATTGCTCTGCCAGCTTCCAGTATCGTTCTCGATGGTCCATTTGCCACACTACTGCTGAAGATTTTTAGTCAGTAAGTATCTACTGGCCAGCTGTCCTGTTCCAGACACTGTTCTAGGCACTGCAAGTACAGCAGGGAATAAAACAACAACAACAACAACAAACCTTGGCTGGTGGAGTGGCTCAAGTGGTAGAGTGCCTGCCTGGCAAGTGTGAGGTCCCTGAGTTCACATCCCAGTACTACACCCCCCAAAAAAGTGATAGAGTTGGGGGTATTGGTATAGGGTACTCTGTAGGCCACCACAAGGGCTTCTTTTCTGAGACCAAGGGAACCATGGCAAGACGGTGAACAGGAAAGGCTTAATCTGAAACATTCTAGGTCCTCATAATTCCACTCTCAGCTCAAAGACTTCCTCAGAGAGGCTGTCCCTTATGGAATCCAAATCAACACCATCTCACTTCTTCTAAGTTTTTCAGTCACCATGACCTCTTATTTTTGATACAGCAACACTGCCATCTCATGCTGGCTTGTTTACTGGTTGTCTCAGTCACTAGAAGAGGAGCTTCCTGAGAGCAGGGGTCTTTGCCTGTCTGACCCTGCCTATGCCCAGTGGGTGCTCACTGAGTTAATGTACAAGAAACCTGGCTTTGAGCTTTCTGGAGGCCAAGTCATGGTGGAAGCAAGACAAATCCAATGACTCTTAGCTCTAATACAATATAAGGAAGTAAGCCGGTCATTAAGAGAGACGTTTCTTGGCTGCAAGCTCTAGAGAATCACCTCTGACTACTTCTTCCGCATCCTCTACAGCCAAGCAGTCACCCAGATCTTGACAACTTTATTCCGCTCAGTGTCATGAATCTCAGCTAACAAGAATGAATGGCTACCACAGGGGAAGCTGAAGTCCCTGCTCTCAAGGTATATATGGTCACAGAGGAGAGAGAAAGACAGCAAACATGCAAGCTGGTATACCATCAAATACGAATAAGGTCTAAGGAGAATTATAGAGAATGTGACAGTGATAGGGTGTGGATGGCCAGGGAAGGACTTTGGAGGATGTTCCCTTTAAGCTCAGTCCTATATGATGGAACAGACGTGAGAGTTGAGGGAGAGGACACCATTCTGCTGCTACTTTAGTCAGGTTCTCACCATCTTGCTTCTGGTTTCTTGGGCTTTACATCCTCCTACCTGGTCGTGGGATCCCAGGGCAGCCATTCACATAGTTCCCAAAGGGCTCTTTCTATACATTCAGATTTGATTTCACCAATACCTTGCTTAAAACTTCCCAAAGGTTGGCTGGGTACTTAGTGGCAGAGCACCTACTTAGTATGTACGAGGTCCTTGGTTTGATCTCTAGCACCATACACAAAAACAACAAATGCTTCCAAAAGCTGCCCATGTACTCAGGGATGAAGCTCCAAGTTCCCAAACATAGCTTTCATGCTTTATCAGATCCGCTCTGGTTTAGCGTGCTCCCTCCCCTGACCTGGTCTACTGCAGACACCAAACAACTGCCATTCCCCAAACCTTGCGATTTTACTTTGGACTTCAGATCTCTGCCAACATGGCTTCCTTTGCCCAGAACACCCTTACTTGTCTTTAAACACTTCATCAGGGAATGTTTCTTCTTCTGTGAAAGATCCCGAGATACCTGGTCTGGGTTAAGTACCATCGGAGCATCTAGAATTTTCTTATTGCAGCCCTTTGCAATCATTTTCTACCAATGCGTATGTTCTTCAAAGGCAGTGAGCATTTCTTATTTATTGTATCTTCCTATTGCTGAACCATCCTCGCTAACAATTTCTGCTAAAACTGTAAAAGCACCATACACGTAACTAACTTTATAATAACTGAACATAAAAACTGAGGACAAAATGGGTTAGAAAGATAACAGAGAAGTCAGGAGATGGCTCAACTTTTTAAGGAAATAGAAACACACGGGGGATAAAGAGTTAAAGACTAATTAGGTCTCCAGGGAGACTTCAAGACTGGCAATGCATGAGAGTGTCCAAAAGCAAACTGTTACAGAATACTGTCACATCGAAATGAACTCACCCTAGGGCTCCTGCGAGGCGAGTGGACAGTTGGGATCTGTGGGGACAACAGCAATTGATCAAGTAGCTGCCCCAGTTTTGACTTCCCACTCACTACTCCCTCTTAGCCCTCACCTCTACAGTGTGAGCCACGATCTTCTTCAAGACAATGGGCTTTCTGACTGGAGCCGCACGGGGTGTCTGGAAAAGAAGGGTGACCATGAACTCTACGTTAGTTCAGTGGACTCTGGGCAGCAACCGAGAAACCCCGGGCTCACCTTCTGCCAAATCTCAGGAAGGATGCTAGGGAGATCAGAGCCTGACTTCCGCTGCGACCTCCGCAGAGAATTAGGAGACGGAGTCTTGGGCCCTAAAAGAAGAAAAATGTTCAGAGGCTGAGAAAAACTTCAGCCCTAGAACTTAGAGACGAGTTTTGGGGAAAGCAAAAGAAGGTTCCCAAACAAGCCCTTTGAGGGCGCTTTTCCTTGGGAGACGAGTCTTCCTTGGGCGGCGGTGGGACTGTGTTCCCCAAACGACTCGGTCCCACCTCACCCGCGTGCATTCCACTTACCAAAGCGCTGAGCGGCCCCTCTGGGACGCGTATGCCTCTCAGACATATCTACGGTCGGTCTAGATCTCCGCCACAGCCAACACGGGCTCGCGCCTACCGGAACGGACGCCTACTGCTGCCGCTGGAAACGTTCAAATTACCCGCCTGGCCGAGGAGGAAGCGGAAGTGACGCAAGGCGGGAGGGCCGCTACATTTGAACTCCTCCTTTCTCCACTCGCGTCACCTTAGCGTCAGAAGAGGCGTGGCCCAGCGGCGTGTGGCGTCATCAGTGCGCGCCACACCCGGAAGAGACGTGGCAGCGGATGGATAATCAGAGCAGTCGGGGCTAAGCTGGCCAGAGTTGGGATTACGAGTGAGCACAGTCACTGTCCGTCCGCGCTTCGAACCACTGCTCGCGCCTGTCTGGACCGGTGCCGCGGCGGATCAGTAATACCGAGAGTGGGGGTCTGTAGAGTAGAGGGGCGGGGCTAGGAGGGGGTGGGGCCCAGGAGGGGCCATAGGGGCGGGGCCGGTGGTATTGGGGAGATGCTGATGAAGAGGCCTGACCTGGAGAAATTAGGAGTCACCGGAAAGTGGGATTTTATTTAGGGGGCGTGGTCCGACTTGAGCAGGGGCGAATGTGAGAAGTGTCTTGGGGAGTTAAGAGTGGCAAAGAATTTGGTTGGTGAGAACGAAGTGGCAGCCACCAGACCCTAGCTTCCTACCAACTCTGGCCCATTGCCCAGGGTCGGTCATGGGACTTTGCAAGTGCCCTAAGAGGAAGGTGACCAACCTGTTCTGCTTCGAACACCGAGTGAACGTCTGCGAGCACTGCCTGGTAGCCAACCACAGCAAGGTGGGACATTCAGGGAAGCCGCTGAGCAGGGTTCTGGGTGGGCAGGCAATTTGGCTTCTTCCAAATCCATAAGGGCGCTCTGCCTTAGAATATAAGCTCTATAATGGCAACAGCTTGGCTAATTTTGCTAACTGCTGTATCCCTAGATCCTAAGACAGAGTCTGGTACACAATAAGTACTCAGTAAATGATTACTGACTCAAAAAACAAAAAGATACAGGAGAGGAGAGAGGCCTTTGGACCTTGGAGTGGTAGGTAGGGGAACCTGGGCCCCAGTTGTGACATCTCTCTCCCACTCCAGTGCATCGTCCAGTCCTACTTGCAGTGGCTTCAAGATAGTGACTACAACCCTAACTGCCGCCTGTGCAACACACCACTGGCCAGCCGCGAGACGACCCGCCTCATCTGCTATGGTGAGGCCTAGGCACCCTGAAGGGATCAGGGCAGCAGGGCCCAGCTTGGTGACTGGTTCCGAGTCTCCTTCAAGCATCAGAACATTGAGTCCCTCTAGCCCGGAGGCCAGAGCCCCAGATACTATTCCTGCTAGGTTATTTCCTTACTATATAATCCTAGAGAAGTCATTTCCCTTTCTAAACCTCTGTCTTTCCTAAAAATTATGCTCCTACTTCCTGTCTTACCAGTCTCGGAGAGATGAGCAAGAGCCAGTCAAGCTTGTGGGGATGGTTATAGCTGTGGCTGTGAGGAGTAGCTAGCCACACCAACTTGGGACTTTGAGATATTCAGGATCCATTGCTGACTCCAACACTACACAGGAATTTCCCACATTAAAGTCAGCTAAAGGAAGTCAGCAGTCACATGTCAGCCTTTGGCCTGAGGCTAGTGTAAGAGCCTCAACTTCAGTTTTTAAAGGAACTGGTGTAAAAGATGCAGGTCCGTGTATGTGTATGTCAGAATGTGTGTGTATCTGCATGAATTTAACGTACATTGTGCCTTTATATGAGTGTTAATTAGTACTTGTGTGTGAGTGAATAATTGTGTGTATGTGAACATGTAAGAATAGGTGTGTTGTGCAAGAACACAAGGGTGAGTGCGCTTGAGTGTAAGCAAATATGCAAGTGTTCAGACATGCCTGTGGGAGAGCTACTGTAGATCTAGGGAATGGCACTTGTGTTTGATGTTGTTTTTTATTTTTTGTGGTACTGGGGTTTGAACTTAAGGCCTCACACTTGCTCAGTAGGCGCTCAAGCTGCTTGAGCCACTCTGCCAGCTCTTTTTTTTTTTGCGAGTGGTGTTTTTGAGATATGGTCTTACAAACTACTTGCCTGGGACTGACTTCCAATCATGATCCTCCTGATCTCTGCCTCCTGAGTAGCTAGGATTGCAGGCGTGAGCCACCAGCATCCAGCTATGTTTGTAAGCACATTTGTGCCTATGGATGTGTAAATGCATATGTATGCCTGTGCATATGTCTAGGGACCATTGATTAACCATTAAGCCAAAGAGTGTGATGAATGTAGGATGTAGGCCTGGAGGAGACTCCCTGAAAGGATAGGTGCCATTTCCTTCACAGTGTACCCACCTGCTCATGGGCTGGCCAGCTTGGTAGCATCTAGCTTGACTTAGTCAGATGGTGATTGCAAGAAGGCTGAAGTGAGCTGGGCATGGTAGTGCATGCCTATTATCTCAGATACTTGGCAGGCAGAGTTAGGAGGATCACAGACTAAGGTTGGCCCCAGCAAAAGCATGAGACCCTATCTGAAAAATAAACTCAAAGCAAAATGACGGGGGTGTGGCTCAAGTGATAGAGTGCTTGCTTAGCAAGTATAAGGCCCTGAGTTTAATCTTCTGTACTGTTTTTAAAAAAAAGACAAACAAAAAAAGAAGAGTGAAGCCTCAGAGAACACTGATGAAATGGACCTGAGGTGAGGAGGGAAGGAGAGGCCCTGAGCATCTGTGTCTATTCACTGCTGCAATGGGCTGGGGTCATTGCTGGCCTTGGGGCTGAAGAGGCTTCTTCCTCACATCTCTCCTCCCCTATTTCATGGGTCCTAAGATCTCTTCCACTGGGCCTGCCTCAATGAACGTGCTGCCCAGCTGCCCCAAAACACGGCGCCTGCTGGTTACCAGTGCCCCAGCTGCAATGGCCCCATCTTCCCCCCAAGTAACCTGGCTGGCCCTGTGGCCTCTGCACTGAGAGAGAAGCTGGCCACAGTCAACTGGGCCCGGGCAGGACTGGGCCTCCCTTTGGTGAGAGTCCCTCTGTCTGACCTTCTTTTGACCCTGGGCCTCACCTGAGACTGATGGGTGGGTGAGGGCAGAACTGAGCAGGCTGGTGACCCAAATTCCTACCTCCAGATTGATGAAGTGACAAGCCTGGAGCCCGAGCCCCTCAATTCCTCTGACTTCTCTGATTGGTCCAGCTTTAATGGTAAGTTATAGTCTCCACCTGTTGTCTGCACTTTTCTCACTACTCCACTGACAGCTTTCTCCCTGCCTACAGCCACTGGACCCTCCAGACAGGAGGAACTAGACAGCACTTCTGCCACCCCAGCCATCTATAGCCAGCCTCCTCGGCCCCCTGCTTCCCCTAGCCGATCCGAGCAGCACACGATCATCCATATGGGCAGCCCTGAGCCCTTGACTCATGGTGAGCCAGGGAACTGATCAGGATAGAAAAGGGGTGAGTGGTTTGTGTGGAGGGAGTTCAAGGATCCAGAGCCCCATTCATTGACTCTTCCTCACTCCAAGTACAGCCATCACCTCCCCACAATACTGAAATGTCAAGCTACGGTGGGCAGGAAACCCCCTCACCTCAGAGGGCCTTAGCTTACTGATAATTGCACCTCCACCCCTGCAGCCCCAAGGAAAGTGTATGACACACGGGACGATGACCGGACACCAGGCCTTCACGGGGATTGTGACGATGACAAGTACCGCCGCCGGCCTGCCCTGGGCTGGTTAGCCCAGCTGCTCAGGTAAATGGTCAGGTAGGGTATAACACCAGGAAGGGGAGGAGAGGAAGTGAGAGTCAGAGGCTCTGAGCTAGATGATTTGATGACAACAGGGCTTGTTCTGCACACTAACGGTATCTAGTGCAGGGACTGGGCAGGAAAGCTTTGGTGTGCCCCTGCCTGGGGCTGTGTTCTTCCCTCCTATGGGAGGTTTGGATTCAGGCTCTTGGAGGCCCTTCTGTCCCTGACACCGCCTGATGTTTATAACTCTCCCCCATGCCAGAACGTCATGTGCTTCAGCTGGTTTGAGCTGCACAGTAGCCCTGTACAGTGGCAGGTGTGGGAGTGATCATCCCTCTGCACAGATAGGAAACTGAAGCCTAGGGATGGTGATCAGGGTCTCTGTCTGTGCCATGAGGGGCTACCAGGGACTTGGGGCCTGACCTGGCTTTCCCCTCGTTCCCCCTAGGAGCCGGGCTGGGTCCCGGAAGCGGCCACTGTCCCTGCTCCAGCGGGCGGGGCTGCTGCTACTGCTGGGGCTGCTGGGCTTCCTGGCCCTCCTTGCCCTCATGTCTCGACTGGGCCGGGCTGCAGCTGATGGTGATCCCAATCTGGACCCGCTCATGAACCCTCACATCCGTGTGGGTCCATCCTGAGTCCTTACTCGTGGCTGGGTCAGCCTAGGACCTGGGGTCCCGAGATGGGAAGGTTGGGGAGGCCTGGGACTCTTCTCCACTCATCTCCCCCAAGCCTGAGACACTAAGATCCCAGGCCCAAAGCTAGGTCCACTGGAGTGGCTGCAGGCTGGGCCTGGAGTCCTGTAGGTCAAGTATTTGTCTTAACCTGCTTCCCTCTGAGCCTCCGGCCTCCAACCCACCCCTTAAATGAGCAACAGGTGCAAATAAACAACAGACTTTATTAAGACACCGGAAGCAGCCTTTTCCTTCTCCCTTCTCAGCCCTGTCCCTAGTCTCCCAGGACTCAGTAGTTCTCCTCCCGGTACTGGATGGCCAGAAACTCCAGGGACAGGCGGTTGAAGAACATGATTCCATTAAGTACTGGGCAGAGGAGAGAGCCCTCATCAGCCCAATACCCTTGTTTCCTCCTTGACGCTTCTCAGGGTTCTAAAGCTCCCCCTCCTCTTAGCATGCCTCCCCCTACTCACTCAGGATGATCAGGGAAAACCACCGGAGAAATTTTTCATCTGTCATCTCCGCGTAGAGTGACCCCATGGCGGCCCAGCAGATGCTGATCACCTGGGAGAACTGTAGGCCCATCCAATGGGAGAGTGGCTCCTTGACACAACAGGCTGGTTTCCATTAGCCCCTCAGCCTCCCCCCAGCCAGGCTCTTGAGCCTCTGCCCCAGCATACCATCAAGACAACTGTGTACTGGAAGCTCATACGGTCATAGTGGTGGGTGAACCAGAAGTTTTGCACATCGTTGGCAAAGACACCCAGGTGTATGAAGAAGAGCAGCAGTGACGCCACGGTTAGCATCATGCCTTGGGGGAAATAGAGCACAACTATGCGGTCCCGCCACCGCATACTGGCCCAAGCGTGGACTCAAGTTGGCCGAGAGCTGAGCAAGCTGGCACTTCCCAGGAAAAGCAGCAAAACTCTGTGGTTCTAGAGTGCCCCATTTGGAATAGCGGGGATTCCAGAGCCAGGAGGGCATTGGAGGAGACAAGATTCTAGAACTCAGTCTCTTCCAGCAAATACAAGTGCGTGGCTGGGGATGCTCGGAATGGTGGAGGGATAGGCAAAACATGCAGACCAGCTCGGGAACCTGTGGCCTTCATGAAGGGTCACAGCCCACATCATTCCACCCTTTTTTCATTCTGTGCATCTCAACAGCCCCACAAGGGAAGCATGGGCACATTGGACAGATGTACTGGGGCTCAGAAATGCTAAGGGGCATGTCCCAGGTCCACAGCAAGTCGGGCAGATGAGAGGTTAGGATCAGATGGGAGCTGAAAGACATTCTGAAGCAAGGGGAAGCTTGGGCTCCATTCCAGGTTCCATCTGGGATCGAGCTGGGGAACTAAGGGAAAAGAAGGGACTTAATTCTCCAGCTATCCTGGGACCTTCCCGATGCCTTTCCCAGGTGTGGTCCAGACAGCAGCTGGCTTTTCCATCCTCTCCCTAGGACTGATGTTCTTCCAGGGCTGATGCTGACCAGCTTTTCCCTCTCTACCTTCTAGACTCTCAAGCCTTCTCATATCCATCAAGCATTTTTTACTTGAGTCTGAGGTATGCAGAGAGATTGTTTTACTCAAGCTTTCTGTGTCAGTGAGCCATGCTGAGTCTGTTCTGAAGCTAAGACCCATCCTACCTGAAGCTGTGACAGAGCAGGGACAGATGCGAGTCAGGAAGAAGCAATTTACTTTATACATTAAGAAGTTCATACTCCAGGGTTGTCAACAAATGCCAGAAAAATAGCCAGGAATGGTGTAGAGGGACATACAAACTCCCAGGATTAAAGTAAGAGGAGAGGAGGCTCAATGTCCTGCCATGCCATACTACTTCCTACCTGGAAGTTAGGTCCTAGCTCAGGCCCAAGACCTCTCTGACCTCTAAACCTGCACCCATCTTTATGCTCACTGCCCCAATCTGCCATCAATCATAACAGCTCCTCAGAACCCATCATAACCACACTTCTGGATTAGTCAGTTTAGTTATGGGACTGGATGGAACTCAGGGTCTTAAGCATGCTAGGCAAGCATTCAACCACTAAGCTATATCTCCCAGCCCACTGTGGTTTGAATATATGGTTTGTCCCTCTGACTCATGCAGGAATTTAATCCCCAGTCTTAGGTTAATGGTCTTACAAAGGTGCACCTTAATTGGGCTATGGTGTTTGGAGATGAAGCCTTTGGGAAGTGATCACAGCATAAGGGTAGCACGTTTATGATTGAACATTGATGGCTTCAGAGGGCCACACAGACACAGAGATGCACATATGATGTAATGCAGTCCAGGGGGCCTTTGACAGCACCTGTGGCATGCTGTTTGGACTTCCAGCATCCAAAATAAACCTTTTTCTTTATAAAGTAGTTTGCTTTGGTATTTCATTAGAGTAATGAAAAGTTAATACATTAAAGGCGTGATACTCCAATGTCCAGCCATGGTCCCAACAAGTGTTTGCACCTGAGTTCTCATTTAAATACAAATGAACTTTTATACATTGAAGTTCTTAGCTCAGTGTATTTTAAATATAGTCCAAGTAATATATGAATATATTCTTGTAAAAGACATAATGCACAGGCACACAGAGGATGACAGTCTCCCTCCTGCACCTTCTCTCCTACAGAGGTAACCCCTTCACAAATTTGGTGAGTCAGCATCTTCTGAGTTCTAAACGTATTTCATACATTTAGAAGTACATATTCATGAATAATTTTTAAAACATTTAAAAAGTTCATGACATGTTACCAGTAATTTCACAAGTTAAAGACATGACATCTAGCCTGGCACCGGTGGCTGGTAACTCTAATCCTAGCTACTCTGGAGGCAGAGATCAGGAGGATCCTGGTCCCAGCTTGGCAAATAGTTCGTGAGATTATCCATAACAAAAATGGCTGACAGAATGACTCAAGTGTTAGAGCACCTGCTTAGCAAGTGTGAGGCCCTGAATTCAAACCTCAGTACCGTCAAAAAAGGAACAAAAGGCATGAATGTGAACACATTCTAGCTTACAGGACATGAAAACAGATGGTGGGTTGTGTTTGGTCTGCAGGAGCCCTGGTAAAAAGTAGTTAAATGAGTGGGGCCTTCCATTCCCACACTGCCCTCACCAGCCCTTCATAAGTGATGTTTCTAAGGTCATGTTGATTAAAACCGTTTTTTTTTCCTCCATTATGATTCACTGTGCCCCAATCTGAATGCCCAGTCATCCCCTCTCCTCCGGAGTCATCCCTTCTCCTCTTGCAGCACTTCTCTGTGAATGGCTGCACCTTTGTTCCAGGCAGAAACCTAGTCATTATTCTCAGTCCCTCATCCAACCCCGAACTCCGCACATTCCACCGTTCACTTAAGATCTTCCATGTTTGTTTTGTAAGTAGCATAGAAGAGGGGTTCTCAAACTGAAGAGTGCACCAGAACTCCTTGGGGACTTTCAAAAGAAGGTAGGTCTGAGCTGGGGCGGTGGTTCATGGCTATAATCCCAGCACTCGGGAGTCTCAGGCAAGAGCATAGTTATGTTGAAAAACAGCCTAGGGTACATACAGAAACTGTCTTTTTTTTTTTTAAGTCTTCTTTTATACCCCAATGCATCACCGGTACTTCTGAAGGTAATTCTGCTGCAGGTTAGAGGCCCGGGCATGAAGAAACGCTGCACTACAAGCAACTTGAGGCTGTGGTACTTGTACTTTGTGCTCAGACCTCCACTATGAAGTACCTTCTCCAGTTTGATGAAAGCCAGTTTTAGTGCCTGTCCAGTCTACACGGACATATATTCCGTGGGCCTTCTTCCTGTGGAAATGCAGGGTTGGGGAGCCACGACTCACCCCCGTTCAGGGAGGGCAGCAACCTAGGCTCAGTACCACAAAATCCTCTCGCCCAGGAACTCAGGGCTCCCCCGGAACCCCTTCACTCCGGGAGGGCAGGTGCGGGGGAACCCTAGTCTCGAAGGACAGGGAGCTGTAGGGAGACGTTTCACCTGAAGGACCGCCTCGTTTCAACAACAACTTTATGGCTCCCGGAAGTGCTTCCTTGTCTCCTCCCCAGCCTCACGCCTGTGGGCTGCAGTTGGAGCGATGGCAGCGGCTGCCGCTGGGCCTGGCTCAGGGTCTGGACCTGCGGACTCCCCGGAAGGGCCCGAAGCGGAGGCTGCGGAGCGTCGGCGGAAGGCGCATGGGATGCTGAAGCTTTACTATGGCCTCTCGGAGGGGGAGGCAGCGGGACGCCCCGCAGGGTCGGATCCCCTGGACCCTACCGATCTCAATGGGGCGCACTTCGACCCGGAAGTGTATCTGGACAAGGTGAGTGTGTGTGTGTGTGTGTATGTGTGGGTGTGGGTATGGGTGTGGTGTGTGTGTTATTGTGTGTGTGTTTGTGTGTGTGTGTATGTGTTATGTGAGGGTGGGGGTGGGGTGTGGCATGGTGTGGTGTGTGTGTAGGTGTGGGTGGGTGTGGTGTGTGTGTTATTGTGTGTGTGTTATGTGTGTGTGTTTGTGTGTGTGTGTGTATGTGTTATGTGAGGGTGGGGGTGGGGGGTGTGTGGCATGGTGTGGTGGGTGTGTTATTGTGTGTGTGTTATGTGTGTGTGTTTGTGTGTGTGTGTGTTATGTGAGGGTGGGGGTGGGGGTGGGTGTGGCATGGTGTGGTGGGTGTGTCAGGAGGGACAGAACTGGAGTGTAAGGGAGTGGGGGCAGGTTTGGACTGGTCTGAGGAGATGTGGACTCTGAGGTCTTGAGGCTGATGTATGATAGGCCCGGGCTAGGGGGTGTGGCCCAGGCCCTGACAGGCGCAGGGCTAGGCTTTGGCTGAGCTTAGGGATGTCTCTTGCTAACATTTGAAACAGGGTCATACTTAATAACACCTGAAGTATGCCTCTTGCAGACTCCATTATCAGCCATTCATGACTGGTAGAATCAGTGTTTTCTTACACTGTTTAAGCAAGGTTGGGGGACATGAGCAAGCATTGACATTGAACACTGCCTGCCTTGCTCTAGCTGCGGAGAGAGTGCCCCTTGGCCCAGCTGATGGACAGTGAGACGGACATGGTGCGGCAGATCCGGGCTCTAGACAGCGACATGCAGACACTAGTCTATGAAAACTACAACAAGTTCATCTCAGCCACAGGTGATCCCCACTGGGACACATTCCTCACATTGTTACATGCTTCATTCTTCCCCCACTGTGTCGGGAAATCCAGCAGGAATTCTGAGAGAGGAGACCTAGATGCCAGGCCTCCCTGACTAATCCACTATCAACTCTTTGTCTCTAAGGGGACCTAAACAGTACTATCCTCAGTGTTTTGTGGTCCGAGCATTATGGAGATAATAGGTGTCCTCAAAGGGTTGTTTTAAGAACCATAGGGGAGAAAGGATAATATGAAATTAATCATCTAAAAGAATCGCTGACACTAAGGAAGCCACAATAAGACCCAACTTTTCTTATTAGTGGTAGCTTTCATCTCTGGTTTAGATCTGTCTTGAGGATGGCCTTGTCCCTCCCTTCTTGTCTTCCTCCTTCCTCCTGTCCTCCTTCCTTTTCTCCCTAATTAAGAGAAGAGAGAAAAATGACATTAAGGGACACAAAGACCATGTAAAGGCTTTTTCCTTTATTCTCTAGTACTAGATGGTGTTCAGCTGTCATCCATACATCTTCTGTCCTGTTTTGAGGACATAGACTTGAGCCTTGTGAAGTAATTTTGGACTCAAATGTACATAGTCCAGGAGGCAGATCCAAATGGTTTGACTGCAGTCCATGGAAAGTTCTGTGAGCATCTGTTGGGTTGGGGTTTCTACATGTGTCACAATGGTGGGTGTAGTAACAGTCCTCATTGTTGTTTTATCTGATTTGAAGCAGGTTCAGTTAGTAGGCACCTCTGTTTGCTAATGCCAGCATCAAAACAAGAAGTGATTTATGTGCTGAGAATTTTCTTGTAGGAATTGCAAACGTTGCATTTTGTGTCCGCCATACCCTTTTTTGTGATGGATTTTTTCAAGATAGGGTCTCTTGAACTATTTGCCTAGGCCTGACTTTGAACCATAAATCCTTCTGATCTCTGCTAGATCAGGTTTGAGCCACCGGTGCTCATCCTGCAGCATGCATAACATTTTGACACTTAGCGCTTTCTTGATGAAGATGGTTTGACTTTAAATTTTTTTCTAAAAATAAGAAAATGATAAAGTGTGTATTAGGAGACTAAGCTGCCAGGACTTTGAGTTCTTATTTTCATTCAAGAGCTTTTTTTTTTTTTTTTCCAAGACCTGTTTTGTATATTGGGAATATAGCAGTGAACCAACCAGACAAAGCCCTTGCTTTTTGGAGCCCGCATTCTAGTTGGAGAGACAGATTATAAATGAATATACAAATAAAGGTGGTAGTAAATGCTACAAGAAAAAGTAAAGTAAGAGGAAAAGAGTAATGTTGTGGGGTACACTTTTAGTATGCATGATTATGGGAAAACCACTCTGAGGTGTGACATTTGAAGAAGGCCTGAGAGACAGAACCAACCATGGGAAGGAGGGACTGAGGAAAGAGAGACAAAGGCTTGGAAGAGAGAGAATATCTGTTTTTTCAAGTACAACAAGAAGCCAGGGGGCAGAGGGCTAGTGGGAACCAGTGAAGGAAGGACTTAAAGATTGTTGTAAGGATCCTTCTTTGTACTCTAAGTGAGATGGAATGAGCAGAGGAATGGAATTATCTGACTTGTATCTTAAAAGGTTGTCTGACTTCTGTCCACTTTGTTGAGAATGGACCACAGGGAAATGAAGGTGGTAGAAGTACCTGTTAGTAGGCTACTGCAGAAGTCCAGGCAAGATGCTGGTGGCATACAACAGGATGGTAACTGAGAAAAGGTGAGATGATTCTAGATTTTTTTCGAAGGTCAATCTCAGGGTATTTATTGATGGAATTATGTGATGTGTAAGAGAAAGAGAAGAATTACAATGACCGAGGCTTTGGGCTTGAATCACTGAGGCCCAGTGTTTGAAGATGAACACTGGGAAGAAGCAAGTTGGGAGAGGGCAAAATTCAAGATTTCAGTTTTGCCCCTGTCAAGTTGAACTGCCTATTAAATGAGGAATCTGGAGTTCAGGAGACAAGCTGGAATTCCAGATACATGAACAAGGTGAGAGATCACCTAGGGAGACTGTGTGAAGAGAAAAGAGATCTCAGAACTGAACCTTGGGGGCATATTGACATTCAGAAGTTATGAAGACAAGGAAGATCCCACAAAAGGAATAGACATTTGAGGAGGTTCCAGACAATCAGGAACATGGCTGTCTTCAAAGCTAAGTAGAGAAAACATTCCAAGAAATAGAACTGCTAAACTTGGGCTGGACACTGAGGAGAGTTGTGGAGCACAAAATGCTTATTGATGGGGCCCGGGGAGAAGTGAGAGGAATTGGAGCAATGTGCGGATGGAGGGGTTGGCCTTGGCAAAGTGTCAAGAGTTCGTCTACTCTAGCATGAGGAAAGAATGTGGATAGAACCAGGAGGTGGTAGATGTGGGGGGTTTAAACTAGGAACCTTCCAGAGCATGTTAGGGATTTCCCCTTTATCCATAGTGCTGAGCCAATGTATTTAGACATATGAATTCTGTGCTCAGACTTGTGTTTTGAAAAGGTGCCTCTAGCTGCAATGAGAGGAAGAGATTGGTGAGGTGGCAGGAGTGAGGCCATTTCAGTAGTGCAGAACAGAGATTCTGAGAGCTTGCACCAGCATAGTCATGATGGCAGAATGAAGAGAATTGGGAACAGTTATTAACAGCCTTGCTGTTGAGAAGCATTGGAAGTAAAGATCTCTAGGTTTCAGCTTAAGCACTGGATGGTAGATACAGCAGCAAGGGAGGTAATTTTCAGTTGTCACAGAATGTACATTCTAGAGAAAGAGACAGATAGTAGATGAAATTAAGATCATTTCGCTTTTGATATGAACTCTGGAGAAAATAAAACGGGATAGTATGTTAGAGAGTGGGTGATAGGGACTGACTTATGAAGGGTGACAGAGAAAGACTTTCCTGAGGAGGGGAATGATGAAGAGTCAGCCACAGGAGGATCTGGGGGCAGAATGACCCAGATTGAGGGAAACAACCTGTGCAAAGGCCTTGGGGAAGCTCCCCAGTGCAGGGAGGACAGCAGTATTGGGAATGAGGGAGCAGGTCCTGGCCATAGGCCAGCAGTTGGCAAATGTTCTCTGAAATAGTGTGTTAGGCCTTCTGGTCTCTATTGCAGCTGCTCAGTTCTGCCATTGTAGCCTGAAAGCACCCATGGACAATGTAAATGAACTAGCTTGCTGTGGTCCCATAGGATGTCATCACACAAACAGGTGGTAAGGTCCTAAAGTTGCAAAACTAGTGGAGTAAATACAGTTGATATTTCTCTCTTCCATAAAAGCAAAAAAAAAAACAAAAAAAAAAAAAAAACCAAACCAAACCAAAAGAAAAAGCCAAACCTAGCCAAAATAGTCAGAAACAACTTTTTTGGAACTCCAAAATTACCTAAGGTTTGCAGCAATCCAGATAGCAAGGAAAATAGCCAACCTTGGTAGGAACAGTGACCTCTGTGATCTTTTAAATTGCCTTAGCTCCATTGTTTGCTCTCCACTTGAGCTATAGCCTTGAAAAATAACAATCTATATTTCTGGACCAGAACAGAGATGGAGTTCTTTCAAAACCTCACAACCAAAGAATTGTCATTATTTGACCTGTCTGGTGGTTTCTTGAAAGACTTCTGTCTATAGGCTTGTCTTTATTTGACCAGACTTGGAGGTTGTTCTTACCACAAACTGCTTATCAAAACAATTATAGGTGAGTATTGTGACTGCCTGAGTTGATGGACAATAATTGTAGCAAAGGGTAGACTAACCAAAAGGCCTAAAAGGACAAGCTGAGGAATTAAATGTCCATGGAGACCCTCAACAGCTGTGACATAATCCTGGGACCTCAAAGGTGGCATACATTTGCAGTGCTATACATATGCTCAGGAAAGACCTGAGAGTACCCTAAGTCATCATCTCTGGCTTATCTTGAGACTCCACAAAAGCAAGAAGTGAAGGCTAAGGCCAACTTATAAACTGCCTGGCTAAGTGTTTAAGGTGCTCCAACACAAGCACAAAGCTCCTCAGAAAGACTGGGAGATTTATGGGTTACTGGTTTTTAAGGAAGTCCCTGTCTGACCATTTGCTGACCACTAAACTAATCAAGTGAAGATGTCAAATGCTACACGCAACAAAGAATGCAGATTTTATAGAATTTGTTTAGAAACGAATTAGTTCAGGTTTAGTAAACAAACAACAGCAACCACAACAAGCAGTAACAATGAACCTAAGGAGGAGAGAGAAGCTGATTCCAGGTAGCCATATTATATTATTTAGAATGGCTGTTATTCAGCAGAAATTTATGAGATACACACAGAGACAAGAAAATGCCCATTCATAGACAGAAAGAAAAGAAACTGTCTCTGATGAAGCCCAGACATTGGAATCACTGTATAGACTTAAATCTGGTCTTTTTTTGTTGGGGGCTGGGCAATGTTGGGGTTTGAATATAGGGCCTCACACTTGCTAGGCAGGCACTCCATCACTTAGCGACTCCACCAGCCCTGTTTTGGACAAATGCTACGAAGGATTCATTTAATTGAAACAAACTCAAAACCACATGAAGATGGTGCATGCCCGGCAAGCGTGAGGCCCTGAGTTCAAACTCCATCACACCAAAAAAAAGACAGATGCCACTGCATACCCACTAGGATTGCTGTAACCAAAAAATGGAAAATAGCAAATGTTGGTAAGGATGTGGAGAATTTGAAACTTTCATAAATTACTAGTGAGAGTGCAAAGTGGTGCACCCAATGTGGAAACCAGTTTAACCATTCCTCAAAAGGCTACTTGCAGTTAACATGTGACTGAGCAGTTCTAGCAATATGCCAAAAAAGAATTGAAAACATCTGGATCCTGAGTTCAAAACCCATTCCCACCAAAAAAAAAAAAAAAAGTTGAAAACATATGTTCACACAAAAACACAAGCACAAATATTCATCAGCTGCATTTTTTTTAATTTTTATTTTATTATTCATATGTGCATATAATGCTTGGGTCTTTCTCCCCCCTGCCCCCACCCCCTCCCTTACCACCCACTCCGCCCCCTCCCTCTCCTCCCCACCCCCCTCGATACCTGCAGAAACTATTTTTCCCTTACTCTAATTTTGTTGAAGATAGAGTATAAGCAATAGTAAAAGGAACAAGGTTTTTGCTAGTGAGCTAAGTACTACAGGATTGACTCACATAATTCTTGTGCATGTTGTTTTACCTTCGAAGGTTAATTTTTTTTATCTCTCTAACTTTTCTCTAGTTCCTGTCGCCTTCTCCTATTGTCTCAGGCTTTTAAGGTATCTGCTTTATTTCTCTGCATTGAGGAACAAATGGCTATAATTTTTAGTGTCTTACCTATCCTCACCCCTCCCTTGTGTGCCTCGCTTTTATCATGTGCTCAAAGTCCAATCCCCTTTTTTTTGCCTTGATCTAATGTCCGCATATGAGGGAGACATACGATTTTTTGGTTTTTTGGGCAAGCTAACCTCACTCAGAATGATGTTCTCCAATTCCATCCATTACCAGCGATGAATAACATTTCGTTTTCTTCATGGCTGCATAAAATTCCATTGTGTATGATACCAATTTCTTGATCCATTCGTCAGTAGGTGCAGTCTTGGTGTTTCATAACTTGGCTGTTATGAATAGTCTGCAACAAACATGGGTGTGCAGGTGCCTCTGGAGTAACCTGTGTCACAGTCTTTTGGGTATATCCCCAGAGTGGTATTGCTGGATCAAATGGTAGATCAATGTTTAGCTTTTTAAGTAGCCTCCAATTTTTTTTCAGATGGTACTAGTTTACATTCCCCAACAGTGTAAGAGGGTTCCTTTTTCCCGCATCCTCCTCAATATCTGTTGTGGTGTTTTGCTAATGATGCTATTCTACCAGGTGAGGTGGAATCTTAGTTGGTTTTAATTTGGATTTCCTTTATTGCTAGAGATGGTGAGCATTTTTTCATGTGTTTTTTGGCCATTTGATTTCTTCTTTTGAGAAAGTTCTGTTTAGTTCACTTGCCCATTTCTTTTTTGGTTCACTAATTTTGGAGAGATTTAGTTTTTTAAGTTCCCTAGATATTCGGTTATCAGTCCTTTGTCTGATGTGTAGCTGGCAAATATTTTCTCCCACTCTGTGGGTGTTCTCTTCAGTTTAGAGACCATTTCTTTTGATGAACAGAAGCATCAGCCGCATTTTAAAAAATAGCCCAAAAGGAGAAGCAATCCAAACAGCTATCAACTGGATGAATGGATAAAGAAATGTGTAATGGGTACAGGGAATATTATTCAGCCATGGTAAAATGTGACATACTGGTACTATAGCATGCTTAGTGAAAGAAGCCAGGCACAAAGGCTAAATGATTCCACTATGTTAAGTTAATACAACAGGCAACTCCTTGTAGAAAAAAATAGACTAATAGTTGCTAGGGGGCTGGAGGTGAGGCTAAGTGGTAGACACCTGCCTAACAAGCATCAAGTCCTGAGTTCAAACCCCAGTGCCAAAATAAAAAAAAAAATAGTTGCTAGAATAGGAAACAATTGCTAAGAAATACATTCTCTTGGAATGTTCTGGATTTAGTAGTGTTGGTTGTATAGCCTTATTAATATACTAAACATATTTAAAACTACTGAATTATATGGTATATCAATTATGAAGAAAAGAAAAAAAAAAAGTGTTGGCCTGTAGGCAGCAATTTATCATCCTCTGACCTAGAGTTTGAGTTCAGTACTATAATAATGCATTTATGTATGTAAAACTGGAAAGGCCTGGAAGGTTATCCCAGGAAAAGCCTCATCCTGTTCTTCACCCCAAGAAAACGAAGCAATCTTTGATGGTAAATGTTATTTAAAATTAAGAGACATACAAAAATGTAGTCATATGTGGATAGCTCCATGGATGTCACAAAGGGAACACATGCGTATAGTCAGCATGAAGGCTGATGGAAACGGCTCAAGTGGTAGAGTGCCTGCCTGGCAAGCATGAGGCCCTGAGTTCCAAACCCAGTATGGAGTGGGGGTGGGGAAGTAGCAGCAGCAGCAGCATGACCAGGGCTAGGAATGTAGCTCAGTGGTAGAATGCATGTGTGCGTGCGCGCGTGCATGCACACACACGTGCGCACACACATGCATTCATACACACACATATTCAGTGTAATCTTTATTACTGAATGGTGTGGATTTTTTTGGTTCGTTTGGACTTAGTGTAGCTTTTATATCCAATCTAAAGTCTCCATGACTATACAGTCAGCAAGGATAGAACACCAGTGTTGGCATTTCTTTTACTCAAGTAAAAGAAAACTTTAGTTTTTGAATTTTGCCCTTTGGAGAGCAGAGTCAAATCTCCTTTCAGTTGCACCCAAGCGTCACATGCTAAAACAGCCATTTTTCTTTTTCTTTTTATTTATTTATTTATTTTTGGTGGTACTGGGGTTTGAACTAAGGCCTCACACTTGCTAGGCAGGTGCTGTACCACTTGAGCCACTCTACCAGCCCTGTTTTGTGGATTTTTTTGAGACATGATCCCAAGAAATATTTGCCCAGACTGGCTTCGAACTGCAATCCTCCTGGTCTCTGCCTCCTGAATAGCTAGGATTACAGGCGTGAGCCATCAACGCCAGCCCCACTGTTATTCTGATGGTAGCATTTGGCAGACCTAGGAGGAGTTCATGTATTTGCAAGCAAAAGCAAGAATTCACTGGGAGAAGATAAGTGCCTCCTGAGCTGTGTGTGTTACAGCCTGTGTGTGTTATGGCCTGTATGTGTCCCCTGATGGATCATTACGTAGTGGTTCTCTAGACACCCTGCTTCTGTCCTCTGCCTTGGCTCTGCTTTTATCCACTCTTTAACTGCAGAGCACTGTCCATGCTGTGTTCATTATTTTGCTGTCTCCGAATTGGCCTTGAAGTAGTCATTTTCCAAAAAAGATTAGCAAGTACAACAAGGGCCCTAAAGAATAATGTAGACATTTCATATTATGCAGTTTTATTTTGTGTAACCTTCCTCTCTGTGCAATTATAGACTCAAGAAGAGTAGGGAATGGCCTTAACTCATAGATTGTGTGGCTAATAAGAAAAGTGTACTTTGTAATTCATGATCTACCTCTTTGTGTAATTTTTCTCTTTTTCTTTTTTGGTGCTGGGTATGGAACCCAAGGCCTTGTATATGCTAGGCAAGCACTGTACTAAGAAGCTACATCTCCAGGACCATTTTTGTTTTTCTTTTTGTAGGATGGGGTTTGAACTCAGGGCTTCGCACTTGGAAAGCAATGCTCTACCACTTGAGCCACTCCTGCAGTCCATTTTGCTCTGGTTTTGGAGATGGTGTATGATGAACTACTTGCCTGGGCTGGTCAATCATCCTGATATCAGCCTCTCGCGTAGTTAGGATTTATAGGCATAAGCCACTGGCACCCAGGTTTTTTGTTTGTTTGTTTTTGTTTTTGCCTTACTGGGGTTTGAACTCAGCCTCATGCTTGCAAGGCAGGTGTTCTACCACTTGAGCAACTCTGCAAGCCATTTTTTTGTTGGGTATTTTCAAGATAGGGTCTTGCAAACTACTTGTCCCAGCTGACTTTGAACGGAGATCCTCGTGATCTCTGCCTCCTGAGTAAGATTACAGCATGAGCCACTAGTGCCCGGCTTGTGCAGTTCTTTCTCTTTGATTTTTTTCCATCAGGTTTTTTTTTTTTTGGTCTGTAGTTTGAACTCGGCTTTGTGTTTGCAAAGCAGGCACTCTAGCACCTGAGCTATACCTCATTTTCCTGCAATTTTTGTGTTGTTTATTCCTTGTCATTGTCATTAATGTTTTTCTCTTCGCCTCACCCTTCCAGATGTCTCCCCTAGTAAGTTTGCTCCCCACTCCTGTTGGGAGGACATTCCCACAGTCCAGGACTGTGCACAGAGCAGGTATGGGTGTGTGATGTCTCATGAGTGTCTGTCTGCAGTTACACATTGCCAGATTCTTCTCCATCAGTCTTGATAAGTTGGCAGTACCACTAGCAAATAAGAGGCTAGCTCTTAGGGTTGGGGATGTAGGTCAGTGGTATAGTGTGTTCCTAGCATTCACAAGGCCTCAGGTTCTGTAAACATAGAGAGAGGTAGAAACAGAGAGATGTTGGTGAAGTAGGAAAAGGATAGTAGCCCCAGAATTATATAAGGAGAGGACAAAAGCAGGGAGCTAAGACGTATGCATGTCGGTAGCAATCTTAGGCTGAGGGGTCCTGGAACCACAGGTATGCATACTTGTTGCAGGTCTGTTTCTGCTGTGCCCTGCTGGTTCCTTGGTGCTGGCGGGGAGGAATTTCCACTCCCAACATGACCTGAAGCTGGGAAGGAAAAGCAGAGTGGGTTAAATGGACAAAATGGAGTCAATCAGGACAGTGCCTCTGTACTTTTTTCTGTTTTTTTGGTGGTACTGGGGTTTGAACTCAGGGCCTCACACTTGCTAGACAATATGCTATCGCTTGAGCCACTCTACCAGCTCTGCTTTTGTGTTGAGTGTTTTTGAGATAGGGTCTTGAGAACTATTTGCCCAGAACTGGCTTTGTACTGCAATCCTCCTGATCTCTGTCTCCTGAGTAGCTAGGATTACAGGCGTGAGCCACCAGCGCCCAGTCAATGCTTTAAATCCCCCAATTTTAATGGAAACCCTGTTGCAAGACCTTGGACCCCCCCCCCATGCATGTCACTAGGACCCTTGCACGATGAATCACTGGTGTAAGTGAGAGCACTTCCATTCCAAGTCTTAAACTGAGAGCTGCACCAACTCCCTCACCTCCTGCCCAACATTTCCTTTTCCTTCTTCCCTGTCCTTGTCCTCCCAGACACTATCCGGAAGATGAAGAACGATTTCCGGAAGATGGAGGATGAGATGGACCGGCTGGCCACCAATATGGCGGTGATCACCAACTTCAGTGCCCGCATCAGTGCCACACTGCAGGACCGCCACGAACGTATCACAAAGCTGGCAGGTGAGCTCTGTCTGAGTGGGTCCCACAGCAGGCCACCCTCAACTCTGGGTCTGACTTGTCCTCCCTGTTTGCCAGGGGTGCACGCACTGCTGCGGAAGCTACAGTTCCTCTTTGAGCTGCCCTCACGACTCACCAAGTGCGTGGAGCTGGGCGCCTATGGGCAGGCTGTGCGTTACCAGGGCCGTGCGCGGGCTGTGCTGCAGCAGTACCAGCACCTGCCCTCTTTCCGTGCCATCCAGGATGACTGCCAGATCATCACAGCCCGCCTGGCCCAGCAACTGCGGCAGCGTTTCAGGTGTGGTCCTGGCCCTGGTTCCTGCCCTCCAGTCGGGCCTGAAGGCCCCCACACTGCACTTTCCTGCCTCCCACCCACCTCAGAGGGCTACTACCCTGCCCCACCCCTCACTGCCTCTCCTTCCCTGCAGGGATGGTAGCTCAGGTGCTCCAGAGCAGGCCGAGTGTGTGGAGCTGCTGCTGGCCCTGGGCGAGCCCGCAGAGGAGCTGTGTGAGGAATTCCTAGCTCATGCCCGTGGGCGGCTGGAGGAAGAGCTGAGAAGCCTTGAAGCCGAGCTCGGGCCCTCTCCTCCTGCACCTGATGTGTTAGAGTTCACTGACCATGGTGGCAGTGGCTTTGTGAGCAGCCTCTGCCAGGTGGCCGTGGCCTATCAGGATCTGTTTGCTGCCCAGGGCCCTGCAGGTGCAGAAAAGCTGGCAGCATTCGCCCAGGAGCTGGGTGGTCGTTACTTTGCACTGGTGGAACGGCGGCTGGCACAGGAGCAGGGTGGCAGTGACAACTCCCTCCTTGTGCGAGCACTGGATCGCTTCCACCGGCGCCTACGGTCACCAGGGGCCCTGCTGGCTGCTGCTGGCCTCTCAGAGGCTGCCACAGAGATCGTAGAGCGAGTGGCCCGGGAGCGCCTGGGCCACCACCTACAGGGCCTGCGTGCAGCCTTCCTGGGCTGTCTGACCGATGTGCGCCAGGCGCTTGCTGCACCTCGCCTGTCTGGGAAGGAGGGCCCCAGCCTGGCCGAGTTACTGGCCAATGTGGCCAGCTCCATCCTGAGCCACATCAAGGCCTCTCTGGCTGCTGTACACCTTTTCACTGCCAAAGAGGTGTCTTTCTCCAACAAGCCCTACTTCCGGGTACGTCTGCCCTTGGATTCTTGGTTATTCAATCTACTGGTTGGCCTTCCAGTACTCTGACCAGTACGTTTTTACTAGTGCTTGGAGAACTAGGAACAGGTCATCAGAGCACACACCATCCTGTCCCGGGCACTCTGGGTATAGATTTAGGTTCTCAGGAGGCACAGTCTGGAGGGCAAGGAAGGCTCTGAGAGTATCTACAGCTGGGGTAAGAACAGGAGGTGCAAGGGTCCCCAGTGCTGCTACCATCTGCCAAGCAGAGAAGCAGGGTAAAGCTGCCTTGGGAAGGGGCTATGGCAGAGGGCAAGGAGCAGCCTCTGCCTGGAAGAGAGTACGGGCTGTTTATCTGGGCCCTTCCTCCGCACAGGGCGAGTTCTGCAGCCAGGGAGTCCGCGAAGGCCTCATTGTGGGCTTCATCCGCTCCGTGTGCCAGACGGCCCAGAGCTTCTGTGACAGCCCAGGGGAGAAGGGGGGTGCCACACCACCTGCCCTGCTCCTGCTGCTCTCCCGCCTATGCCTGGACTACGAGACAGCCACCATCTCCTATATCCTCACCCTCACTGATGAGCAGTTCCTGGTGCAGGTGAACTGGCTCATTTGAGGGGCAGAGGGGACTAGGCTGGGAACACAGGAGACTGGATAGTATTGTGACCAGACCCAGACCGGCCATCTGTGCCCACCCCAACCTGGGCAATCTTGCCCAGCCTGTGCCTAGGTCCTGGTTGACAGGAGCCCCTGAGCTGCCCTCAGTACCTACAGCTGCTGTCCTCTGCCTCCTTGGTGCAGGACCAGTCTCCAGTGACACCTGTGAGCACACTGTGTGCAGAGGCCAGGGAGACTGCACGGCGGTTGCTGACCCACTATGTGAAGGTGCAAGGCCTAGTCATATCACAGATGCTGCGCAAGAGTGTGGAGACCCGGGACTGGCTCAGTACCCTGGAACCCCGGAATGTGCGTGCTGTTATGAAGCGGGTTGTGGAGGACACAACGGCTATCGATGTGCAGGTGCTGCCCCAGGCTTGCCAGTGGAGCCCTGAGGCAGGTTGGGGTGCTGGGGAACAACCCTCTGAATATCGAGGCCAAAGGGGCCAGTAGTGCCCTTGTTCCTCCTCAGCCCCGGGGGTTATGGCATCGCCTGCATCTCACCTCCCAGGAAGTGGAGACCTAGGGTCATCTAGGAAGGCGAGGCAGGGCTGGGCTGAAGATTGGTCTCAGGCCAACTCTTCTGTCTTCCCTTTGCCTCCTACCCTGATTTTGGAAATGGTGATCACATTTTGGAAATGTGATCCTTGTAACAAGCAAGTAGGTAACAGTATCCTCTGCTGGGGCTCCAGAGCACCTGATAGGCTGGAGGTTCCGCGTGCTTTGGCCTTGCAATACCATCTTCTTACCACCAGGTGGGGTTGCTGTATGAAGAAGGTGTTCGCAAGGCCCAGAGCAGCGACTCCAGCAAGAGGACTTTCTCCGTGTATAGCAGCTCTAGGCAGCAGGGCCGTTATGCGCCCAGCTACACACCCAGGTAGGGAAGCCTCAGGGAAATGGATAAGAGAGGAACGTGTGCAGGTCGGCTCTAATTCCTTGTCTCCTCCGTCCAGTGCCCCGATGGACACCAACCTCTTGAGCAATATCCAGAAGCTGTTCTCCGAACGTATTGATGTGTTCAGCCCTGTGGAGTTCAACAAGGTCTGAAGTCCCTCATGATCCAGACTCCAGGGCACCCGGGGAAGGTTGGCTGGAGCAGCCGCACACCCATCTAGGAAGCCCTAAGACCTTGTCTGTGTCCACCTGGAGGTGCCTCTGACCCCTTAGTCTAGGGCTGCCACCACCACCTCATGGCCCCAGCCAGGGTGCTGACCTGGATGAGTCCCTGACCTTATCCATGGTTGTCTGGGTTCTCAGGGATTCCTAGTCACACCTTGGTCTCTGTCCCACTCCAGCCCAAGCTCAGGGTCTCATGGTCTGATTTCTTCCTCTCACTCAGTGATGCAGTGTCTCTCCCTATCCCGAGTCAGTGCTGGCTCCTCCCTCAGCTTCTGATTGCTGGGGCCTGGCTGCCCCTCCCCTCAGGTGCTGCTGCTAGCATTGTGCCTTCCTCCTGCCTAGGCCCTGGGCATTTCTGTCCTATCCAGCTTGTCTCCCTGGCCCTTGCTAAGAAGTTGGAAGCGCCCCCCCCCCCCCACAATCTGACACTGCAGTCACTGAGCTGCATCCCCACATCCCCGCCTGCAGGTGTCGGTGCTGACCGGCATCATTAAGATCAGCCTGAAGACGCTGCTAGAGTGTGTGCGGCTGCGCACATTTGGGCGCTTTGGGCTGCAGCAGGTGCAGGTGGACTGTCACTTCCTGCAGCTCTACTTGTGGCGCTTTGTGGCCGACGAGGAGCTCGTGCACCTGCTGCTGGACGAAGTGGTAGCCTCGGCTGCCCTGCGTTGTCCAGACCCAGTGCCCATGGAGCCCAGTGTCGTGGAGGTCATCTGCGAGCGCGGATAGGCCCAGCCAGGGCCCTACACCGCACTGCTCTGGCGTCCTATCCCACCCTTACCCTGGTCTCCCCTTAGGCGGCCCTTCCCCGCTGGCGGGTGTCAGGACCCGCCTAATAAACCTGTGTGGCCTGCGTCTCCCTCTCGCTTGTGAAAGCCGGACCTGCCGGGGGTGGAGCTGTGAAGCCGGCTTCTGATGCGACCGTGCAGGGCCCGCCCCTGGGCGCCGATTGGCTGACGTGCTGGGCCCATGATGGTCAGGGGGCGCGTCCTTTTAAAGATCTGGGGGCAGGAGCAGCCGCTGTCCCAGCTATTTCGAGACAGGTGCAGTCGTAGCGGGGCCGGATTCTCCGTCGCTTAGTCCATCTAGGGGATGACACGGGCGGTGTTTCCTTGACCCGCTGTTGTGAGCCCTGATCCCCCTCCGGCAGAGCCGAAACCATGGCCCCTACTCAGGGTCCCCAGGCCCGGCTGGAATTCGGGGGACCCCTGGGTAATGGGGCAGAGAGGGTGGCCTGGGGGCGGGGACTGAGCGGGGGCGAGCTAGAAGCGGTGAAAGAGCAGGATCTGAGGGTGGAAGGCATTGGGAGCCAGAAGGATCGGGGTTTGTTGGGGGAAGTGTCTGGGAGGGGCGGGGGGGGGGATGGTTGTGGATTGCAAGATTGGGAGGTGAGGCAATAGGAGAATCTTCGGGAGGGGGCTGAGGTTGAAGGGTCGAGGTGGAGGGGAATCCGGGGCTAAGAACGGCGTACAGAGGTTGGTGGTGACATGTCGGGGGTTGGGAGAGCTTCGGAGCGGACGCCCGATGCGTGGCCCCCTCCCCAGGCGCTGCGGTGCTGCTGTTGCTGCTGCCTGCCACCGTGTTCCACCTGCTCCTGGTGGTCCGCTCAGGCCCGGCGCGCCTCCTGGGCCCGCCCCCGTACCTGCCAGGGCTGGAGGAGCTGTGGAGCCCGCGGGCGCTGCTACTGTTGCTCGCCTGGATCGGTCTGCAGGCGGCGCTCTACCTGCTGCCGGCGCGCAAGGTGTGGGCTCTGCTCCAATGGCAGGGAAGGCAGGGGGAGGCCACGGAGAAGGCTCCCCCAACCCCAGTGAGAACATCCCCTCTTGTACCCACAGGTGGCCGAGGGGCAGGAATTGAAGGATAAGAGTCGCCTGCGCTACCCCATTAACGGTGCCTAGGGGACCCGCCCTTGCAATGGAGTTGTCCCAGTGGGGTGGGGTTCCAGATCTAGCGGGAAGGTCCATGGAGATTAGCTCCCTACTCCTAAGCTTCCTTACGTGTGTCTTCACACATAGGTCTTTCCCTGAAGGAAAGACTTCAGGGAATCTCCCCATGCCCCTGCCTCATTTGCTGTTAGTCTTATGCACCAGTGGCTGGGGTGGCCATCTAAAGGCCAAGGTGGCAGCCCAGTGACTTGGGGTGAGGTCTGTGATCTCCCTGAACTGTGGGCGTGTTGGGGGTCGGATGGAGTTCTGGGGCTCACCCAGTGCTGTGGTTCAGGCTTCCAGGCCCTGGTGCTGTCAGCCCTGCTGGTAGGGCTGGGGGTGTCAGTGGGTCTGCCCCTGGGGGTGATCCCAGAAATGCTCCTGCCCTTGGCATTTGCGGCCACCCTCACCACCTTCATCTTCAGCCTCCTTCTCTATATGAAAGCTCTGATAGCCCCTGCCTCGGCTCTGGCACCTGGGGGAAACTCAGGTGAGAGGGGTCCCAGTGGGTAGGGGGGAGGCAGATGGAAATGCCTGCCTGTACCTTCACCCTCTGTTATTTTCCAGGGAATCCCATTTATGACTTTTTCCTGGGACGGGAGCTCAACCCTCGCATTTGTTCCTTTGACTTCAAATATTTCTGCGAGCTGCGGCCTGGCCTCATCGGCTGGGTATGCTGGGCTTGACTGGGCTGGCCTCAGGCCAGGACAGGGGCAGGGTGGTTGAGCACAGCTCTGGTAAGGCAGAGCCACAACTGTGCAGGCAAAAATCATCATCATTCATTCATTCCACAAGTGTGTTGATTCATCACATGCCTTCAGCATTGCTCTAGTATTGGGAGACAAGAGAAAAAGTTACAGAGAGGGGAAAAAAAAAATCTCTGCCTAATGAAGCCTTCATTCTAGTGGGAAAGAGACCAAATATCAACAAAAGATATACAGTAGGATGGAGGTATAGTTCAGTGCTAGAGCACTTGCTTGGTATGAACAAGGCCTGGGTTCTGGCCCCAACAACAAGCAATAGCTCCAGGGATGACAAGTGGAGGAAAACAAAGCAGGGAGGGAGGGAGCTGGGAGAGCACATGCTATTTTAAATGCAGCAGTCAAGTGCAAAATCTATTTCAAAGAGTGCCCATGTTCTGGACAGTCAAGGCAGTGCAGAACCTAGAACTGATTTCCAGGGTTAGCAACCTGTTGTCACTAGTGGCTGTGACAACATTCCAACCATGTTCTTTGGTCATGATCAACCATACTGGATGGTGGCCAAGTCTGCCAAAAGCACTCTTTGGCAAAGTCTCTCTTTTCGCTTTGAATATGACCTCACCTTGAGGCAGGAATGCCAAGCACCCACTATGGATCTGTTGTTTGTTTTTAATCTTTAAAAAATTTTAAATTTTAGTCATCAGGGTGGCTTCAAACTATGATTTTCCTGCCTCATCCTCCCAAATTTGTAATCCCAAATGCTGGGATTACAGTTGTGCTCCACCACACCTGGATTTTTATTGGGGGTGAGGGAAGGAAGGGGAAATGAGGTCTCATTGTGTTGCTCAGGCTGGCTTCAAACTTGAGATCTTCCCTTCTCTGCCTCCAAAGTAGTTGGGATTATAGATGTTGCCACCATGCCTGGCCATGGATCTGGACCCTGGTGTGCCCACAGGCACGTCAGCCTCTGAAGCTTTCTTCATTGGTGAAATGAGATTGAATAAAAGCTTTCTCTCAACTATTGTGAGGATTAGAAAGGGTCATCTCCATGACAGCACCGAGCTCAGTGCTATTAAAATGAGGGTGCTGAGTGCAGTTTGGCTTCCAGCCCATTAGCTCTTTGCACCCACTAAGTGACAGTCCTTAAGCAGCGCTGTGAGGCGGGGCTCTAATTATCCATCCCCATTTTCCATATGGCCATAGAAACAGTGGGCTGGAGAGGATAAGCCACTGACCCCAGCAGCAAAGCTCAGATTCAAAAACCAGTTTTGAGCCAGGCGCCGGTGGCTCACACCTGTAATCCTGGCTACTCAGGAGGCAGAGATCAGGAGAATTGAAGCTCAAAGCCAGCCTGGACAAATACTTCACAAGACCCTATCACAAAAAAGGGCTGGTGGACTGGCTCAAGGGTAAGTCCCAGTACCACTAAAAAAAAAAAAAAGTTTTGGTCAGTTGCAGTGGTCAAGCCTATAATCCAAGCTACTTAGGAGGCAGCAATCTAGAGGATTGACATTCAAGGCCAGCCAGGAGAAAAAATAATCGAGATCCTATCTCAACCAATGACTGGGCATGGTGCACACACCACTACAGAGAAGTACATATAAGATTCTGGTCCAAGCCAGCCTGGGCATAAAGCAAGACCCATCTCAAAAATAACCAAAGCAAAAAGGGCTGGGGAGGGGGGAGTAGCTCAAGAGGTAGAGCAGTTGCCTAGCAAGTTCAAGACCCTGATTTCAAACCCAAGAACCACAAACAAAAAAATAAGAGTTTTAACTGGAGATGTAGTCCATGTCCCTAGATATGGGTCTAGGGGTGGAGAGTGACTAACAGTGACAGCTGAGAGACTGAGAGACAGGGAGAGGCAGCATCCAAGTGGTGCTTCCTCTGTGGAGATGATGGTCTTAGCCCCCAATCTCCCCAGGTGCTCATCAACCTGGCCCTGCTGGTACAGGAAGCAGAGCAGCGGGGGAGTCCCTCACTGGCCATGTGGCTGGTCAATGGCTTCCAGTTGCTGTATGTGGGTGATGCCCTTTGGAATGAGGTAAGGCTGGGCTAAGGGGGGAGGCCAGGGAGGACACCTGAGGACCTCATCAGGACTAAGCCAGTATTGTCTGGGTCTTGTCCCTGCAGGAGGCCATCCTTACCACCATGGACATCACACATGATGGATTTGGCTTCATGCTGGCCTTCGGGGACCTAGCTTGGGTCCCCTTCACCTACAGCCTACAGGCCCAGTTTCTACTGTACCACCCACAGCCCCTGGGGCTCCCCATGGCCTTGGTCATCTGCTTCATCAATGGTCAGTCAGGAAGGGCAGCAATTGCATCACTGCCCCTCCCCCATCATACATCCCACGCTGTTCAGCCTCCACTGGGTAGCGCTCAGCTCAGGGGGTGCTCCGAAGTTAGGAGCTGGGTCCTGGATGGCACTGCAGTCTGGACTCTGGACAGGCTGGTGCTGGATCAGGGTCAGGTGAATGCTGACTTTTGGCCCTGACCACATGCTCACTCTCTCTCTGCAGCTGCTGGTTATTACATCTTCCGAAGGGCTAATAATCAGAAGAATACTTTCCGAAAGAATCCTTCAGACCCCAGTGTGGCTGGTGAGCTGGATCTTTTGGGGGCCATGGGTGAGGTGGGGCAGCAGGATTTTTTGGGGTTCCCCACCCTACCTATCGTTCTCCAGGCCTTGAGACCATCCCTACAGCCACAGGGAGGCAGCTGCTGGTGTCTGGGTGGTGGGGTATGGTCCGCCACCCCAACTACCTTGGAGACCTCATCATGGCTTTGGCCTGGTCCTTGCCCTGCGGTGAGTGGCCTGGTTGGATATGGGCAAGGGTGGCCTGCTGACTGAAAGAGGCCCAGCCTGGGTATGCCACACTGTAGGGAGCAGTTGGCAACTAGAGATAGCCGGTGTGGCTAGGGCAGACTCCAGTGCCTACCCAGTCCTGGGTGCCTCAATATGGACCCTGGGCCTTTCAATGCTGAACCTTGATGCCCAGGGAGCCATTAGGTGTGGAAACCTTGGAACTGGGGTGCTGGCTGGGTGGTCACACAGTTCCTTCCCTACAGGGGTGTCTCACCTGCTGCCCTACTTCTACATCCTCTACTTCACCATGCTGCTGGTGCACCGGGAGGCCCGGGATGAGCAGCAGTGCCTACAGAAGTATGGCCGGGCCTGGCACGAGTACTGCCGGCGTGTGCCTTACCGCATCTTGCCCTACCTCTACTGAAGCAGCTCCCCCATCCAGCAGCGGGCCTACAACCAGGACACCTGACCCTGAGCTCTGCCAGGCTGGGATGACCAGCCTCAGAGAAGAGGTGGTTTGGAGCAAGATGAAGCCAGAGCCTCGAGTGGAGACATTTTCCTTTTTGGATAAATGTCTGGAACCTTGGCGTGCCTCTCTCCTATTCTGGGGCCAATATGTTTATGACTGGCTGGTTAGTTCTGGTGAGGGAAAAGCTGAATGGTGGTGTGTGGGCCCGTGGCTTTGCTGGGTGAGGCAACAGCTGCCACTCAGAAATGAACACTGCCAACATTTGGGCAGAGCAGTCACAGCTTTATTTACGATAAGGGTCCTCGATTCAGCCAGGGAGTTCCTCAATGAGAGTCCTTGGGGCAGGTGGCACGGGGCCTCCCCAAAGCCGCTCCAGTTCCCCAGTGAGGGCTGCCACTTCTTCAGCTGCCACAGTATGGGCCCGATAGGCACTGGCGCAGTCTAGAGCCAGGGGTGTGAGGGCAGCCTCATTTTCGTTGGTCCAGGCCAGTAGGAACTGGCACTTCTTCCGGGCCCGGTAGAAGCGATCTCGCTCTTGCTTAGCCACAGCCTGTTTGCGCGCCCGGCCTAGGCTCTGTGCCAGGTGCCCTAGCGCTGCCAGTGTGTAGCCTTTCTGGTTGGTCGGACCTTGTCCCAGCAGGATGCGGGCTGCCTCTTGCATAGCACCCCGTGTTCCCAGGGGCCCAGGTGGGTGCTCGCCGGCTTCCAGCACGTGGGCTGCGGCCTGCAGAGCTTCCTCCGTAGAGGAGAAGACTTGCTGGGCGCCCAGTGCTCCAGAAACGTCAAGCAGTGTGGCACAGAAGTCAGAGAGCAGCGCGTCGTCCCCGCCGTGATACAGGGCAAGAGTGTGTGCGTAAGCGAACAGCACGTTGGGCAGCTGGTAGCGCACGAGTGGTGAGACGGGGCAGCGGCTCAGGCTGGCCAGCGCGGGGATGCGGGGAGGCACGGCGGGCGGGCCAGTCCCCGGGGCGTCTCCAGGGGCCGCGTCCTTCCCGGATTCCGGCGCGGTCCTCGCAGGAGCGGCCTCCAGCTCCGCGGGGGTACTGCCGGGGGCACCATCCAGCTCCTCCAGAAGCAGCGGCCCGGCCCCGCGGCCCCACCACCAAGGCCGCCATGGGGGCAGCAGTCGCCCGGCCTCCCCGCGGCTCAGCAGTCGCTCGAAGGCCGCCTTTTCGGCCGGCGCAAGTCGTTCCCAGAGTCCTGAAAGGCCGCCGGGGGCAGGGCCAGGGCGGAGGCCAGCTTCCTCGGGCTCGTCCTCGGCCTCGCGTTGCTCACGCAGCCGGCGTAGGGCGCCTGCCAGGCGGCTAGGTGAGGCGCTGCGACCGCGGAGCTCTCCCAGAACCTGGTCCCGGTAGAAATCCTCGGCACAGGTGCCATGCGCCCGGTAGCAGCGCAGTGAGCAGTAGGGCACATTACAGCGAGGGCAGGTGTAGCGAGTCGGCTGGGCCTCCCCTACCGGGCAGAAACCACAGGGCCCAGCCGGCTCCATGGCAACCGGCGCGGGGCGCCAGGCGCGGGCACAAGCCAGCCGCAGCTCAGCCACTTCCGGCGCTTCTTAGGCTGTTTCCGCCTTTGGGCGGGGCCGACGGAGCGTTAGGCTCCGCAAAGCTCGCGATGCTCTCCGCAATTTCCGCCCACACCCCGAAGCCAAGCCCCGCCTCTCTCTCCATAGCGCTTTGGGCAGGCGCAGAAGCCGGTCGCGACGTAGGAGACACACCCACCACGGTGGCGCTCCGAGATGGGGAAAATTCGCTAGGCGAGTGCTTCGCCGGCCCCAGCTCGCCCCCTAGTGGTTGTACCAAACCATAGCCCCATATTGCGTACAACCACCTAACGGAATTTTGTCACATCATGCTAAACACCTACTCAGGACCATAATTGTGGCAGGCTATAGATGAGATGCATCCCTGCACTGGAGGAGCAGCCATTTTATTAGGGGACACAGACAAATTAAGGCGCAGCTACAGTGAAGAAAGACCAAAGTGAGGGCACCTAGTCTAGCTCTGACTGTTGTGGGCATTACCAATAGAAAGCCTCAGCAGAAAGCTGTTTTAACAAGTATCACCTGTTTGATTTCCCCCTCTTCTTTCATTACTTTCTCATTAAACATCACCTTCGCTCATCCAAATCTGTTAAATGCAGACTCTGTATTAAGGGTCAAGAACACAGAATATCAAAGGAAAGAAGTCCCTTTCTCGGAAACCTAGTCTTGTGGTGCAGCAGGGAGGATGAACTACAAAAAGTGCCAAGCACCATGAAGTCTTGATCCATGGTGCCTGTGATGGAAACTGGTTCTTCGGTGCCTCTCACCTCACAGCCAATCCTGTGTCCTGCCGCTTCTGGCTCAAAATAACTTGCATTTATCTTGATATGAGTCATTTATTTTCCTACCACGATTTGGATGGATTTGAAGATCTTCTTTGTACTTTTGACTTTGTACTAATGATTTAAGCTGCAAGTTCCCTCACTTGGGTAACAATATCCTAAACTGGTTTCCTAATTTACTTGCCGGCCCTCCAGAAAAAATCAGCCAGAGAAACTAGATCACAGGTTGAGCTACAGCTCAGTGTGCAGTGCTTGACTAGACTGTGAAGCTCTGGATTGGATTCTTAGTACCGAAAATAAAACAAAAAATCCCAACGAATTAGATCACAAGTCGTATCACACCAAACTCTTGCTTACATTCCTTTCATGGCTCTCTAACTGCTATAGTTTGGATGTCCCTAGCGAAACTCATGTTGAGCCAGGCACAGTGGTATGCATCTATAATTCCAGCATGAGAGGCTTAGCAAGACTATCTAAGATCCAGGCCAGCCTAGGCTACACAGTAAGACTGTCTCCAAAAATAAACCCTCAAAACCCCCAAACAAAAAGAAAGCCCTCTCACACGGAAACTTAAACCCTATTGTGAGATATTAAGATGTATTGAAATGTTTAGGTTATGGGGGCACTGCCTTAATAGACTGATCCATTCATGAATGATGGGCTGTCTGAAGAGTAGGCCTTTTATGTAACTGTAAGGCAAAAACTAACCCTTTTATTCTGGCAGTATGGAATTTGAACTCAGGGCCTGTTAGGCAGGGCACTCTTATCACTTAAACCACTCTACCAGTTGTTTTGTGCTGGGTATTTCCTACATAGGGTCTCTCAAATTATATGCCAGGGATGGCTTTAAACCTCCATACTCCTGATCTCTGCCTCCTAGGTAGGTAGGGTTACAGGCATGAGCCAACAGTGGCCAGCTCAACCTTTTTATAAACTACCCAGGTTGGTATTCAGTTGTACAACAGGAAATGGACAGAGACAAAGTCTCCTTCCCATGGTTGACAAGGCCATGTACCCACCCTAAACATCACTTCTACTCCTGCCTCTGCAGTGCTTTCCCCAGCTCAACATTTGATTGGCTGGCTTCAGGTCTCACACATCTTATCCCTAGTAGCCTTATGTAGGGATGCTCTTAAATATGTCTGTCCACTCCACTCCATCCCCCCCACTTAATTTCTTTGAGGCAGTGACACTTTTTACTTTCTGCACTTCCCCTACAATAATTAAAACTGTGAGCTGAGGATGAAGCTAAGTGAGATCCTTCATTTGATGTCCCAGTACTGCAATAAGAACATTAAAACGCTAGAAGGCAGGAGCCATGTCTTTTAATACAATAGAAACAAAAAATTAGTATTATCCCGTGGCTCACGCCTATAATCCTATCTGTGGCAGGATGAGATTAAGATCTTGGTTTGAGGCCAGCCCAGGGAAATAAGCTTGAAAGACCCCATTTCCAAAATAGCCAGAGCAAAATGGACTGGGTGTGGCTCAAAGGGTAGACCATCTGATCTGCAAGCATGAAGCCCTGAATTCAAACACCACTACGGGGTGGTGGTGGGGGGAAAGAAAAAAAACAAAAGGTAATATATTTACAATGAGCGTATTTACAGATGCTGATCTAAGTAATTTGCATCCCTTAATCCTCACAATTCTGATGCAGAGATTTAATCAGTGCCAGCCAGTAAACAGAACCCAAATTCAGCAGTCCAAGTTCAGAGCCCACAAACTTTATTTACCCCATGGTATGCTGAACTCAAAAGAACCATCAGGTTCAAAAGCATTAGATGAATGAATAAGGGGAGCTGGGATATGGTAGAGGATCCATGAAACAATCAACTGCCAATCATGACTATGATTATGTTAGGAAGGCCACTGGTCACCATGGTGCCAGTAGTCAAGCATGTTCCTTTGTACCTGAACTTTACTAAGGCCACTCTGGTTCAGGGAAGGGGCAGACTGGTATTCCCTGATTTCCTTACCAAACCTATTCCCTCTTCTGTCGCTAATTGCCTCTGGACGCCTGCTACCTTCCATATCCAGAAGGTAAAAAGGGACTTGGGGGGTAGTTATCAAGTTATTTGGATTAGGGAATTTTCCCAACTCTGTATCTTAAAAGCCAGCCATCTATTCCTCCTGATTCACAGGAAGCCTTTCCCATAGTTCCACATTTCCTCCCCCAGACCTCACTGTTCTAGAGGATACACCACCAGCCTGGAAGCCATACCTCCCGCTGAGGCCCTGCAAATGAAGATTCAACAACCCCTGGCTGAAGTGGCTTTATTAGAGAAAGCCAGGATTACATGGACTTAAGAGTTGGCATTGGGGCCTTTCTTCTTGCCAAAGGTGGGCACAACATTGACGAAGCGACGGTTGTACTGCATCCGCCGCTTGGCCCGGCCAGTCTTCTTCTTCTTCTTCTCCTGTTTGGCCACCTGAGAAAAGGGAGGACTGATTGGGCCCTGGCTGACCGTGCCTGGAATCCTTTCCTCCAACTCCTCTCCAGGTGGAGAAGGCAGACAGGAGTCAAAGATCTTGGCTTAGTTGTGATAGCAAAAAACAAAGTCCAAACAACTACCAATTCTCTCACCTTGGGCGTCTGACCTCTCACTTTTCCAGCACGGGCCAGGGACCCATGGACTTTGCCTGTGGTGGGAAGGGAGAACAGTGGCAGATAAGAGACACAAAGGCACCACTCAGTATAATTCCTTCTCAACTTTTTCATGACAACTTGAGTCCAGAAAATCAAACAACGTTGTAGAGACCTGAAGTCTGGTTAAGTTTCCCTTCAGGACTTTCCAGCTGGTGACCTTCAACAAGAACTTTTGAGCACTAGGGGGATCTAATTCAACCTCCTGATTCCAGTGGAGGAAACTGAGAACCAGACAACTTCTGGGAAGAAACTGAAAAAGAGCTACACTCTCACTCACTTTCACAGTAAATGTTCATTCAGACTGGGCACCGGTGGCTCACGCCTGTAACCCTAGCTACTTGGGATACTGAGATCAGGAGGATGGACGTCCAAGACCAGCCTGGGCAAATAGTTCCCAAAATTCCCCCCTCCAAAATAAAACAGAGCAAAATGGACTGGAGGTGTGGCTCAAGCGGTAGGTACAGTGCCTGTTTTGCAATTGTGAATCCCTGAATTCAAACCCCAGTTCCACTAAGAAAGAGAAAACGAAGACAAACAGAAGAATCAGGCTAGCTTGAGGACGCTGGAAAGCACTAAATCTATCATCACGGACACCACACTGAGCTACGACAAAGTCCAAAAACACCCCTTCCTCACTCACCTCCAAGCATGCGGCCAGCCACCTCCAGAGTGGTCAGGGCTTCCACCCCGCAGTGGCCGAGGGTGGCCTCCTCCTCCAGCGGAGTGCCCGCCAGGAGCACGACTTGATCTTCCGGGGCGATGCCCTCCAGTGAGGCCACATGAGCCTACAAGCACAAACAAGGTCCGCACGCGTTCCCGCAGAGCCCGACGGTGAAGAGTCCGAGAGGATGGGGTCCGACGAGCGCTGCGCACTTACCTTGATCTGGGCGACCGTCTCCTGGCCGCTCACCTCGAGGGTGTGTAGCTCCTGGGCGCGGACAAAGAGCTGCATGTTGGCGACTGAGGAAAGAAAGGGCTGTGAGCCAAGGAGAGAAATGCCTCGGGAGGAAGGGGGTCAGGGAATCGGAAGCGGCCCACAGACGAGCGCGCTGGGGTAGAGGGGGTGGCGGTGTCTCACGTGCTGAAGGCCCAGCTAGCTAGGGAGTTCGGACAGGAACCCCAGGCAGGGCCACAGAGCAACCTCGGATCCTTGATTTCCCCCCGCAGCCTTTGACCCAGCGGCTAGGGTGCTACCGAGCGCTGCAGATCCAGCCCTCGTCTAAGTCTCACCTGAACCGCGAGCTCAGCTGCCGCTACCGCGAAGATGGAGTCGAGAAAGAGGAAGAAACGGGGTCACGCACGTCCTCACCGCCTGCTGCGTGTCACGTCACTGCGGAGCGACTGCACAGGCCTCTCCTATTTATACCGCCCCCGCCCCCCCCCCGCGCCGTTCTAGCTCCGCCTCTTTACGCTTCGCGCAGGCGTGCGCTCAGCGGGGGCGGGGCCAAGCCGGGTGCGCGCGCAGAGAGCTAGCGTCGGAGCCAGTCCAAGATGGCCGCGGCCGTGTTCCGTGCTGCGCTGCGGAACTTGGGAGTCGGCGTTCGGTGGAGCGGCGGGCTACGACAGCTGGTGAGAGTGCTGGAACTTGGAGATGATGGCAGAGGGTTGGGTGTTGAGGCTCGCTGTTACTCACTGTAACCCTGAAATTCTCATTACAGGGGCCTTAGTTTTCTTACCTGATCCGTGGCACTTGTCTCGAGGGTGATACACGCAAGGTTAAGAGGGAAAGGGGCAGAGCCTGAACTGCACTTGGGGAGTGTGGGGATTGGGATGTGGCTGCAGGACAGCCGAGTTAGGGCTGAGAGTTGTACTCTGACGCTCGAAGTGTGGGTGGAGAATTAACCATGATTGGTTCAAGTACCTCATCCGAAACTAGAAAGTTCCAACAGTACGTTCAGAAAAAACTTTTAAATACTGAAAAATGGCACATTGAGCAGTTTTCCGATTCATCGCCTTTTCAGAGGTATACACATATTTTTCTCCTGGAGTCCCATATAATTCCTAAGAGGGGACTTCAGCTGTTGAAAGTGCTTGAGCCGCTTTTCCCGTCCCACCTGCACCTCACACACTGGAAAACTGACATCTGTGCTTTCGCATCTCCAGCCTTTTTCTTTAGCTATTCTCTCTGCTTGAACTGTTTGCTTTGTCTCCTTACCAAAGCTTTTCTATGTTGGCTAACGAACAGTTGGTGTGTTTGTTTTCCCTCAGAGCCAGATCCAGGGACCTCCTGATCACCGCAACTTTGTGGAGTCTGCAGATGAGTATCAGTTTGTGGAGCGCCTCTTACCCCCCACCACCATCCCAAAGCCCCCAGAGCACGAACATTATCCTACCCCTAGTGGTTGGCAGCCTCCCAGAGGTGAGCATGGTGATGGGGATAGTTTGAAGGCTGCAAGGAAATAGTCCCCTTCTTAGTGGTCAGTGTGCCCCAGCTGAGTCTCATGTTGAGATCTTGTAGGGTTAGCATTGACTTATGCCCAAGGAATGGCCCAGGAGTAGCTTGCTCTTTCACTGGTCCTCATCTATCTATATTATTGGGATGGACTCTTGCCATATGGGAAAAAGACAAGCAGAGAGAGAAGACCCAAGTGCTTGGACCTCCCTTCTCCCTCATCAGAACATGTACTATAATTGAGAACACAGCTCAGGAGTTGGGCAACTCTGGGTTTGAATTTGACTCTGTTGCTCACTGTTGGTGTGATCTTAAGTCATTTGACTTCTTCTACCTTCAATTTCATGAAAATGAAGATAATCCACTTAGCACACAAAGCTCTTACTGCAAAGCCCAGCATGTGGTAGGTGTTCAGTGTTTGTAAATACCCATCCCTTTGGTCAGAAATTTTCAGCCTCCCTGACTTAGTGGGAAAGGGCAAGATCGACCCCAGAGGGGAACCCAAAGATCCAGGGAGTTATGTCCCTGTTTCTTCTTGAACACTTAATAGTACCAGGCCCTGTGTGGGATTTCGGGGTACCAGGGTGAACAGTTTGGTCCTGATTCTAAACTGGAAGAAAAGAGGCGATACCTTGACCTTAAGACTGTAGATGGTCTTGGTCCAGTTGGATGCAGTTAACCCTCTGTAGATTTTGTGAAGGGAAGGGCCTTGGCCAAGGTGGGGTGGGATCTAGGACAAGTTGGCTTATCTCTGACCCTCCCTGTTTCAGATCCCCCACCCAACCTGCCTTACTTTGTGCGGCGCTCCCGGATGCACAACATCCCAGTCTACAAGGACATCACACATGGCAACCGCCAGATGACTGTGATCCGGAAGGTGGAGGGGGACATCTGGGTAAGTGGGTAGGTGGGTCAGGGTCTGTTCCTATTTCAGGGCTGAAGGGATGGGATTCTGTTAGATAGGAATGACTGTAGACCAGGTCTGATTTTTCATCTTTCCCCAGGCTCTGCAGAAGGATGTGGAAGACTTTCTGAGCCCTCTGCTGGGGAAGACACCTGTCACCCAGGTTAATGAGGTGACAGGTACTGTACGGATCAAGGGCTATTTTGATGAACAGCTTAAGGCCTGGCTTCTTGAGAAGGGCTTCTGAAGAACTACTGTGTTCCCCCCCAGACTGTGGAGTCCAGGGGACCTCAGGAGGAGGGGAAATGTATATTGGAGCCCTTGGGACAAAGACCAGGGCTAATGGCTTGGGCAGGGCAGAGTATGAGGGCTGAAGGGCTTTTGGGCTCATACCTGGCTTGCATAAAGGGGGAAACAGACCCCATACACAAGTGTCCACCGTGGAAGGCCCAGCAGAGAATAATCAACTAGTGCGGGATGGGGCATCAGCTGTTTTTCCTCTCACTGTTTCTTGGAGTTCCTTGGGGTTATCTGTTCAAATTCTAGGGACTGTCATCCATTGGGTGCAATTTCCCAACCCCAGTTAGGAGGAGCTTCACAGTGAAGATCCACCGGGCACATCCTTGGCCCTCTGGAGCCCTTGCTCCGGGCTAGACCTGACTTGGAAACTGAAAAACATGACCCAGGCATGGATCCTGGGAGGGTGTTAAGTTCCAAGTGCAGTGCCACGTCAACCCCCAGGAGGCCCAGTGCTGGTCCATGCTCCATTCCAAACCAGACCTGACCTGATTGGTTTTCCAGCTCCAAAAGTTAAATTAATTAGCTTTAGCTGGCCTAGCCACAGGGGTACCTGGACATTCCAAAGCCCAGCCCAATCTGCTGACCGGGAATCCAGGCTGGACAGGGGTTTGCATGCAGAAAGATGCAGGCCCTTCACCCCTGCTATCTATGCCCCTCACCTCCAGCCAACTAGCCTTCACTGTTGCCCTTGGAGTCACAGGGACCAAAGGCCTGAGTTCCCACCTCCACCCCATCATCAAACTAGTTTAACAGTGTTCAGGTTCTGGGTGCCCTGCTAATCTTTGACATAAGGCAGAGTACTGAAGCTCTCTGGGGCTCAGTTTCTCCATATATTAAGTGGGTATGTCTTCCTAATTGATAGTCAGCAGTGTCCTCACTTCAGGAGATGCAGGCCATTCCCAAGTCTATGGCCTGGGCAAGGAGAAGTGCCTGGCCCAGACCCTACAGCACAAGCCCTGCCAATTGTTAATGCAAGTTTTTATTCGGCTGTATGTACAATTTAAGCTATTAAAATTTGTACAATATTTACAAATTAAATAATCATCTGAAACTGTCTCCAGCAACTCTTGTAACACAAAACCGAGGTGAAGAAAGAAGGGTGGGCAGGTCTCGGTTCCTGTGGTCCCTGCCTGGTCCAGAGCCCATTCTATAAACTGAAAGAGCAGAAGTACACTCCTACTCCCCTTCCTGGGGTCAAGCATTCAAATTCAAAAGACAAAATTTAAGCCAAAAGCCACTAGGTAGGAAGTAGTACAATCCTGAACTGGAGAAAGGTCTGCAGCTCAGGAGTGCCCTTCCTTGGGTTCCAGGGTTGCAGTGGTTAAGGAGCAGTACACTGGCCCTCAGCCTGCCATGGCTGGGCAGTGGCTGCTGGGTGAGACTATTAGTCTCAGCTGAGAAGCTGCAGGGGAAAGGGTCTGGGGGAGGGGCGGGGCAGGGTCCCTCAGTGCTGCCCGCCTAACCCCCACCCGCAGGCACTCCTTTCCCTGAGTTGTATGGTTGCCAGTAAGACTTGGAAATGCCACAGGGCATAGGGGGCACAGCCACCATCACAAAGGGGCTTCTGGGAAGATGGGGGTATGAAAAGGAAATCAGTACCAGTCGTGGCTGGAGAGCCAGGGGAAAGTTCTGGTTCGACTCCAGCTCCTCTGGGGTCCACACTTGGGAACCGGAGCTAATACTGTTCGGCACGCAGCATGACCCAGCACACAAGTAGGGCTCAGAGGGGCTGCCCTTCTTCCAGAAATGAGGGGAAGGAAGAGGGCTTTTCAGAGGTTGAACCTGCCTTCAGAGCCCTAGCAGACCACAAGGCTGAAGAGATGGAGAGGAAGGCTGGAACTGACCAACATCCTCACAGTCCCTGGGCTCTGAGGGCTCAAGTTCTCGCCTGGGAACTCAGCCTCGGGGGTGCTGCCACTTCCTTCTCAGAGCTGGGGTTACTACTCCCTGGTGCAGATGGAGGGAGCTGGCACTTGGTGGCAGGACGTGTTCCAGCGAGGGCTGCTCAAGAGAGCGGGGGCAGGGTCAGGCCTGGGGCAGTGTCAGTGGGCAACAGGGGACTCCAACTTTTGCAGGCGGCGCCGGCGGAGTTCTGCAGCATCAGGCTCTCCATCCTCGGGCAGCTCCTCTGCGCCCACTGAATCAGGAGCTGGGGACAAGAGAGGTCAAAAGTAGAGCCCAGAGAAGGGCCCAGCCCTGCCCCCAGAGACTGATAACACCTACCTGGAGATTTTTCAGTTTCAGAGGCTGGTGGGGAGGCTCCTGGGGTTGGGGTGGTGGCCTCAGAGCTGGGGATGCTGGTGGAGGAGGGAGCAGTGACCACTGTAGAGGCAGTCTCTTCAGTGGGGTTAACTGAAGTGGCAGGTCGGGGTGGCCTAGCAAGAGAAGGGACAAGAGGGGCCTGGCCTTGGCATGCTGGGTTGGGCAGATTCTCCTGGCTTGGTGAACCTTGCAGGACACTTTGGGACACAAATGAACATGTATGGAATGAATTCTTGGATGGGGCCACTCACAGGCCAAGTGATCCTGTGTTGTGGACTATAAACCACTTGCCGGCAGGGTTTGCTAATGTCTTCTACCCTGCAGTGTCCCCCCATGGATGTCTGCATTCACTTTGTGGACTCCAGTGTCCCTCCAGGCCTGTACCGTGTCTGCTGGGTACCAGTGTTTTGTATGTGTCACCTGTGAGTAGGAACTGGAACTCCTATTCCAACAAGGTGAAGGTCACAATACAAGTGAGCCATGGGACTAGCACTTGCACTAGGGTCAGGCTGGTTCCAGGGGACTGTGATATCTGCTTCCACAATTCAGAGGCAATCCCAACATCAAGAGGGTATTAAGGGAGGGGCCAGAGCAGCGAAACTAGGAATTACTGGAGCTTAGAAAAACAAAAGGAATGCAATTCATGGTCAGCTTGCGAAATGAGCAGCACTCCTACTTCACTCTCCTGGAATGGCAAGAGAAAGATAGGGAGTGATCAAGAACTTCTGGAGCCCCTGGAGATACCTGTAAATGTGGCCTGTGTGCAGGTGTTACAGGGTGGCAGGAGAAAGATGCCAAGAACAACTGCGGGGGACATTTCCTGGCAGCTCCACCCCTCAGTGCCCCATGTAGACGCACCCTAAGGAGGCCAGCACAGTGAGGTACTGGTTGATCTGCAGCATGGCGGCGTCCAGCAGCGTGTGGATGTTGCGCAGGCTCTGCAGCCGGGCCTCCAGGTGCTGCCGCTCATGGCCCTCCAGAGCCCTCAACTCCTCTGGGGTCAGCCCGGCAAAGCCAGCAGGGGGCACAGGCATGGGGGGGAAGGCTGGAGGGAGATGGAGGCTCAGCCTGGGCTGCCTAGGACTGACCCTACGCCCCTGCCCCACAGAACATCCCAGAATGGCCCAACTTACCAAAGGGTGGAGGCAGAGGCATACCCATCCAGGGAGGAGGAAAGGGGAAGCCAGGGGTGGGGCCGGTCTCTGGAGCGGGGGCAGAGCCAGGTGCTGAAGCAGAGGTACTAGTGCCAGCAGCTGTGGTTGTGGCTGCTCCACTGGGCCGAGAAAGGGCTGTTTAAGAAAAGGAGACATCAGAGTGCAGCAGGGCCTCTGCCTCCATCCCTGGCCCCTCTCAGCTGCCACAGTACCCAAAAAGCTCACCTGCACTGGTGGACGGAGGGGCCACAGCCTCTCCAGAGCTTGGGGGAGGTGGGACAGGTGGAAAGGGGCCCATTGGTGGCCACAGTGGGAACATGCCTGGAGGAAAAGGAGGCAGGAGGCCCTGGGGGACTGCAAAGAGAAGGGTGGTGAGAAGAGGGCTGAATTGAGTAGATCCCACTCCCAGGCAGGGGGCTTAGCTACTGGGATCTCTGTTCTCTGCTCTCAAGACCTCTGAGCTCACCACTGGTCACAGTGATTGCAATCACCTATTTCTCATTTTTCACACCTCCCTGCCCAGAATGTGAGCTTCTGTAGGGCCCGAGGCTCCACTCCCCAGCATTTCTCATCCTGGGCCCAGGTTAAGTACCCAATAGTGTGGTGAATGGGCAGATGAAGAGACACTCACAGTTAGGGGGCTGGGGCAGGAGTGGTTGGGGGTGGGGAGCAGGGGGTGGTCCTTGGTCTGCAGGCTCAGGGGGTGGTGGTGACTGAGCTGGCAGCGATGCCCGCAGTACATCCATACGGCACGTGGGGCAGGTCTGTTGCCGCTGGAACCAGGAGCGCAGGCAGCTGGGGGTTAAGACCGGGCAGTGGTCAGCAGATCCCCAGGGGCCTGCACCCAGATGTGCAGGCTCCCAGGGTCCCCTCCCACCTGGTGTGGAAGATGTGGTTGCAGGGCAGTCTCTTGGCACCAGTCACCATCTCTTCACGGCAGATGATGCAGACGTTGTCCACTGCCTGGAGTTCTTCTGGGGTGGCATCTGGATACCTGATTGATGGCAAAGAATGTGTCAGGGCTAGAGCTGGGGACAAGGGGATCTGGAAAAGAGTTTGGAAAGGGATCAAGACAAGCCCACTTACAGTGTGTTCATGTTACGGATAGCTCGGCGGGACATGATGGCATCTGTCACAGCTTTCTTGAACTGCCTGTAAGGGCAGTCAGTGAATGCAAGGAGACGAGGGGAGGAATCAGATAAGGAGAGTGGAGGGGCAGGGCTGGACTCACCTCATGGCCAGGTACATGGGCCGGATGGCAAAGAGCGGGAAGGTGTGCACCTTGATCATGATGGTCATAAACGCCATGTACAGCAGAACCTTGATGAAGCCTGCGGGAATAGACAGCTGGTTAGAGGCTCTGGCAGGCAGCGTGGCACTGGTCTGGGTCAGAGAGGCCCAGTCTCCTCTCACCTGTGAACAGCTCTGTGTAGAGCATGTATACGGCCTTATTATCCCAAGGGTTCTCGCTCTGGAGGTCCACAGAGTGCAGCACGTACTTGATGAAGATGGTGAGCACCATAGTCATCAGGATGGCATACTGGAGGGAAAGGGACGTGAGGGGTATGTAAATGCCAGTTCTCTCTTGCTCTGCCCACACTGCTGCACCCAGGCCTCAACATCGCAGAGTACAGCAGTACTAGTACAGGCTTGACACAGCCAGGGGGGTCCTCCCAGCCCCTCCACTCACTAGCTGTGACTTCAGGCAATTCATTCAACCTCAGTTTGCTCACGTACAAAATGCAGAACTGTTCACTTATGGCCACGTTGTCTTGTTGATTAAGAGTTCACCACAAGGCCTGACCACAAGGCCTGACGTGTAGTGAGTACTCAGCAAACATGAGCTCTTGTCACTCAACACTCTCCCCACTCCTCTTCTGGGACATGGCTTCCCATGGTCCATCCATCTATCAGTCTAGAGCCAGCTCTGGCATCAGCCTCCAGGAAGACTTTCTGAGCCCCAAGCTGGGGCTCCTGCACACCAGCCTCTCTTTGTGCCCCCCTGCAATCACCTAGGAGTGTATAAGGGCTCCCTGTCTAAATGACTACTGCTCCCTGATGGCCAGAATGGTGGAGGGGGCAGCAGATGCTCAATTTCGGTTTGTTGTGTTACTCAAGGCAGACGAAGTGTCACCTTAGGCTCTGCTCTCCCCCAAACTCCCAAGCCAGTTTTACCTCAAAGCCAAACACCAGCTGCACAGAAGCCCCACGGGTCAGGATGCTGTGATAGGCATGGCTGACGAACAGGAAGTCCAGGATACCCAGGAGGAACATAAGGGCTGTAGGAACCCCCAAATCAGGGGAGTGGGGTCAGTCCAGGCCTGACAGCCACTTCCTGCTCTAGGACAACCCTCCCCCCTCCAAGCCCACCATGGCCATGGTGCCAGTCATCTAGTCAGGTGGGCACACTCCACTGGATTCAGCCCTCTGGAAACTCCAGTTTTGCTAGGGGCGGGGGATGAGTGCAGCCCAAACTCCAAGTGAGGGAGGAGGCAAAGAGCTTAGCATCAGGCAGTTGAGAAGCCCTGGAGTGGAACAGGGCAGACTATGCAAACTAACTTCCTAAATTATATTTCCTGTACAGCTGTGGGCCAAGGGGTGGCCTGTGCTCTGGGGTACGGGCCCACGCTAGTGACTTCATGTTCCACTTCTCCACCGTGCCCCTCCTCCCTCCAGCTACCTCCCCTGCCCTCCATGAAACCCACTCACAGACGATTCGGCAGTGAAAGAGCCAGGAGATATTGGGGCTGCGTTCCATCTGAGGCAGAGCAGAGAGGGGCCCGTCAGGAAATCTGGGCTCACCCCCACTCCCATCCCCAACCCTGCCCGACTGCTCCACAAGCCTACCCCAGCCCCAACTCACAAAGTCTACACGGTCCTCAGCCAACCAGTGAAAACACTTGAGGAAGAGAAGAAGAGTGAAGAGCGCAACAAAGCGGGGGCTGAAGTCATCCCGAAAAACAGTGAAGGCCAGACAAGTCTCAGTGACTGCGTACCAGGAACGCTCCAGAAGGTGCTGGGGGTTGGGCAGGGGCTGATGAAGAACCCAGACATTCTGTTTGCCCAGTGCCCTGCCCCTCACCTTCGGGGCTGCTGACATCTTACCTCCATCTCTGCTGCCCTCAGCTGCCCAAAGAACACTTTGCCCATCACCTTGCCCAAGAGGAAGACAAGGACGAAGGCCTGGATATACAGGACCTAGGAGTGGAGAAAGCCTATGGTTTGAGGTCACTTTCTGCTTTCCTCTGCCTGGGGATCATCATTCAGGAGCTTCCCCAAGTCTTCACAGTTTATTCAAAAGTTAAGCAGCTAGTGGTTACCTCACCCCTACTTACCTGACCTGTAGCCCCGCCTCCACCCCAGGCCGACTCCTCCTTCCCTCCCTGGGCCGTCCTCCCTCCCTGAGCCCTGAACTCACTGCCATGCTGGGGCTGGACTTGGTCAAGTACACCACAGTGGGGTAGAACTGGTGTTTGAGGTAGTAGGCATGAGCCACCACGGCCCCGGTCAGCGCCAGGCTGGCCGCCATCATCACTGCGGTGCGGAACATTGCCCTGGCCGGGAGACCTGCGTGGGGAAAGAAAGTGAGGACCACACTGTGCAAAGCTAGCACAGTGCCTGGAACAGCCTCAATAGGACAACGGGGGAGGGGGGAATCTCACTTCACTCTCACAATCATCAGATCCAGGACAGCATACGCGAGAAACTGCGACTCAAAGGGGTTAAGTGATCACTTTGATGCAAGGCCTGGAACCTGGGTCAGTTCTCGATTCAAATCTAGGGCTCTTTCCACGCTGCCTGCCAAGGAGCTCCTCTAGGGAGGCAAAGAGGAAAAGCGGCAATATTGGAAGCAGGGGGGTGGGGACAGACACCCCTGACCACCGAGTGAGAGGCAAAAGCGAAAATCTGGTCCAGAGGCGGGAGAAGCCAAAGCGCAGACGGGCGCAGCCGGGGAGGCGCAGCGCGGGTGACAGCTGTCCCAGGGTAGTCGGCGTGGACGCGCGCCCCGCGGGTGCGGGCGGGGTACGTCAGCCTGGAACCCTGGCGTCCCCCAATCCCCGGGTCAGTGTCAACTCGGGGCACCGTAGAAACGGCCGACCAGCAGGGTGCAGTGGCAGGGCTAAACGGGACCCAGGTCGCCCTCGCGGCCGCGCACCTGTGTGCGCCAGGAGTTGCGAGAGTCGAAGGCGGGGCCCAGCCTTAGGGACAGTGGCAGCGCCGGCGCCTGAGGTCTGCGGCCATCTGACAGGCCGAAAGCAGACGGCTGGACTATGGGGGCGCAGAGACCCCGGTGACCACAAGGGGAAGATCCAGGCCCAGGTCCTGACCCCAACCCCAACCAGGGCCCAACTTCGCCTACTCACCAGGAGCCAAGCGCCGCGAGCCCGCTCAATCCCCGCGACTGCGGCAGCCGCTCCGGTTAACAACACTCCCCACCCCCTGCGAACCGGAACTTCGAGGGTAAGACACCTCACTTCCGGCGGCGCGGGGCGCGGCGAGGACCGTACCAAGTGCGCCCCACTTTTGCTCGCTCCGCGCGTTCTGTGTGGCGCCTTAGAACAGTGGTGTTACTGTCGTTTCAGGGGTTGGTACCCATGGAGAAAACCTGAGCCAGGAATGCGAGGGGTGATCGGATTGAGAGGGGACAACGAAGGAGGGATGGAATGCCCCCTCCTTGCTACTCTCAGTTGGTAGGGTCTCTACCGCTGAGTGGACTCTACACAGCCCGGACTCCGGCTCTCAAAGCGCCTGAAAGGTGGAGCATTTGGGGGGCCGTGCCACTTAGAGGGGGGGGAGTGTACAAGGGACGGTTTTACGGTAGGCCTAAGGGAAATAGAATCTTTCAGCGCCTCGTTCCAGGTATAGCCACACAGTTTGACAAGTAAGATGCTCTCTGGGAGAACAAGATGCAGAAAACAGAAATTTGTCTCCTCCATGGTCACCCCTCAGGTTCTGTGGGAGTGAGTTGGGTCCCGTGGCTACCACTGATTGGTTGCGATAAAGTTACGCGGACCAATAAGAAAAAGAAAAGAAATTTTCTGGCCTATAGAAAGAGAAAAACAGGTGAGTGGTTGCTAGGAGCGGCAGACAGTGTTGCCCAGGACCAGGTCCTGCCCCAGCTGGCGGAGTGCCGCGGGGAAAGCGCAGTCCATGGGCAGGTGATCCCTATCTGGCCTCGGGGAACGTTTGCCGCGCCACAAAAAAGAGGGGTATTCAGTTGTGCCAGGACTGGGAGAAAGGCAGAACTTTAATTCCTGCTAATCTTGTGACCGGAGTGTTCTGTGCAAAGGGGTTGTCCGCACCCCAATCTGTGTCTATGCTTTTGCTGTCCTTGTCTTATTCATTCCTGGGCCATTGCCATGACCTCACTGGTCCTGGGCTGCCCGCTATTTCGGGCTGGGTCGCAGCCAACTCAGTTCTTTCAACAGAATAGAATTTAGGGTTAGGGTTTTCCTTCGTCATTGTATTTAAATAGCCGTTGCCAAGTTTATCGGCTAGGTGGCGCTCTTTCCATTTTAAACGCGGGGGACAGCTGGGGTTCAGAGGTTGAAGACCTACCCAAGAATTGCTTAGATCTGCCTCTAAATCGTCGTGCTGTTGGTTTCAGCTGACTTCCTCGCCACCTGTTGACTTTAGAGGTACAGCTGGTAACCAATCACTGAGTTGGCTCCCCCATGGGGTCGTCTCTGACTTTCTACTGATTATACCCAGTGGTCAACTTTGAATCTGTACTGACACAACTTCTCTCCCATTCTCCTAAACTTCTGCCATATGCCCCCTACTTTTTTCTCTCTGGCTATGTGTCTGCCTCCCTTCCTTTCTCATCTTTATGTTTTTTTTTTTTGTTGTTTATTAATTTATTTAGACGGTAATAGGGCTTGAAATCAAGGCCTTGCAAACCAGTCAAGGGTTCTACCACTTAAGCCAGCCCCCAACCCTTGCCCATCTTTTTATTTAAATTCGTGTCCCTTGGGCCCCTTCTCATTTACTTTTCCTTTATGATGTCCTCTGCTCTTGTGGATTTGATCACCTCCACCCAAAAGCTGATGACTGTCATGCCTGGCCTCCAGCTCAGGTCTCCTCTGCTTTGAAAAACAGAGCCAGCTGGTGGAGTGGTTCAGTGGGAGAGTGCCTGTGTAACCTGTGTAGCAAGCATGAGGCCCTGAGTTCAAAATCCAGTACTGCCAAAAAAAAAAGGAAGGAAGGAAAGAAACCAAACGATTTAGCATCCCTGGTCTCCACCTTCATCCCAGTTCTGGAAAGCTGGGTTTCGTGCTCACTGCATTCCTCTGCCCTCACATCCAACCTGGTAATTTCGTTCCAGTAGTTCACAAATATGAATCAAATGTCTCCTCTTCTAAGGATTTAGGATGTCAGTGAACAAAACGAAGACCTCTGCCTTTGTCGGAGCCAGCAGTGGGACCTTGCCTGTGTGAGTCGGCATCTGGCCTGGTGAGAAAGCTCCAAGGAACTGGGGCAAAAGTCTCACTGCTGGCTCTGACAATCCTGAAAGGGGAAACATTGATGAGGAAATGTGTTACTTACTTACATATTCGACCCGACAAGGGCTTGGGAAGAAAGAATGACCCTTCATTAGCAGCTCGGATTCCCATCCCCCCACGGCCGCATGAATTGAGACTGTTGTTTCTGTTATGGTTAATATGAATAGCAATAACACTTATAATGGATTGGATATGAATCCTATAAAAGGCTTTAAAAAGGCTTGTGTAACTTATGGTCCTGCTTCTCCTTTTTGTAGCGAATATTTGGCAGGATGGAGCAATGATGCTGGGTAGATTCCCTAAGATTTTCATATTGTGGCCCCTGAATAATGAACTATTACAGGCTTTAAAACAATTAGTCCAAAAACAATTAGAACACAAGCATATAGAACCTTCCTTTTCTCCTTGGAATTCTCTAGTTCCTTGGAGCTTTCTCACAAGGCCAGATGCCAACTCACACAGGCAAGGTCCCACTGCTGGCTCCAACAGTGGGGTGCCCTTGTAGAAGTGACAGACAGTAAACAATGTACATAACGAGAGAATTATCTGATATATTAGAAGGTAGTAAGTACTGTAAAGGGGAACACAGCAGCATAGAGGGGATCGGGGTGCTCAAAGTAGAGGACCAGTATCATGAGGATAATTGGGCAAGCCTCATTGAGTAAGTGACATTTGGCTGGAGATATAACTCAGTGGTAGAGTGCTTTTCTAGCTTGCCAAAGGCCCTGGGTTATATCCCCAGCACAGAAAAAAAATTCACCAAACTAACATACTAAAATGATGAAGGTGACATTTGAGTGAAGACCTGAAGAAGGTGAAGATAGGAGGCCCATGGATGTCTGGGTAAAGAGCTGCAGCTACAAGTGTCCTGGTCCTTGTTTGTTGGAGGAGGGGAGTGTAGCTAGAGGGGGAACTAGTGCAGGATGAGGAAGAGGAGAGGGAGCCAGGCTAAGTGGTGGGGGCCATTGTGGGTTCTCACTCTGAGTGACATGAGTGGCTACTAGAGGGCGTTGAGCAGAATTATGACCTGCTCTGACTTACGTGGAAAAGCATCCCTCTGGTTCCCGTGCCGGAACAGACTGTGGTGGGGTGGGAGGCAGAGAGGCAGCACTTAGAAGACTCTTACAATACATGGGGCAAGAGAGGAAGTCCTGTTGAGTCTGCCTCCTGTGTGTCGAGTTCATTCTTTCCTTGCCATCTCTACTGCCATTGTCATCTCATGTCAACAGCCTCCTTTCCTATGCTCTATTAATTTACTACCCATACAGTGGCCAGAAAGATCTGACAACCCAAACCACAGCTTGCCTCCCCTTCCCCCACTCTGTCCTGTTTACATCACACCTTCTGCCTTAGTCCTTCTCTGCTCCTATAACAAAATACCGAAGACAAGGTAATTTATAAAGAACAGAAGTTTATTTGGCTCAGTTTTGGAGGCTGGGAAGTCCAAGAACATGGTGCAGGCATCTGTGGGCATCTGGTGAGGTCCTTCTTTTTGCATCATAGCACGTTCAAGGGCATCACCTGGTGAGACAGAGCAAGCAAGAATCAGCTGAGGTCTCTCTTCCTAAAAAGCTGCCAGTCCTATCTTGGGGGTCCACGCTAATGACCTTATCTAATCCACCTAAGGATTCTATGTCCAAATGCCACCAAGCTCCACATCACTTGGAAATTAAATTACAATACATAAAATTGGGGGAGGCACTTTGAAACATAGCAGCTACCATGGTCTGAGCAGATACATCACCACCTGTTTTTTGTTGTTGTTGTTGTTATTGTTTTGTTTTGTTCAGGAGCTTGCAGTGTAGCCCACGCTGGCCTCAAACTTGCAATCCCTCTGCTTCAGCCTCCTAAATGCTGGGATTGCAGGCGTGCACCACTGTGCCCAACTGGTACATGCCTTTTGCATAGGCATTTCCTCCTCCCAGGAACGTTTTTCTCCTCAAGTATCAGAGCCAGTATTGCCTAACTCCTCAGGTAGGGTGAGTGCCCCCTTCTGGGTTCCCACAGTGCTCTATGGCACTTAGTGCCCTGTGTTGGAATTGGCCCTGGACTCCAATCTAGCTCGCATAGACCCTGAGCTCAAGATAGGGGCCTGAGTCTTTATTTCTTCTCTTCACAGAACAGATAAGTGTATTTCTCAGCAATGTTACCACTGTTAAACAAGGTCATTTTAGAATGATAAAGGGTCACTTAAGAAGACATAGCGATCTTAAATATTTACGCACCTAATAACAGAGCTTCAAATTGCAAGAAGCAAAAACTAATTAAACTACAAGGAAAAGTAGACACATCCATAGTAGTCAAAGAATTCAATAATTGTCTCTCAATGATTGATAGAACAAAGGAGACAGAAATTACCAGGATGTAGAAAGCCTAAGCAACACTATCAACCACCTGGACCCAGACGACCTTCATAGACATTTCATCCAACAGCAGTAGAATTCCTATTTTTTTCTTTTTTTTAGTACCAGGGATCAAACCCCAGGGACTCGTGCTTGCCAGGGAAGCTCTCTACCACACGCCACACCCCCAGTCCTTTGCTTTTGATTTAGAAATAGAGTCTCATTAACTTTGTCCAGGCTGGACTCAATATCACGATCCTCTTATCTCCTCCTGAGTAGCTGGGATTACAGGCACATGCCACTACAAGATTAGAAATCAGTAAGAGAAAAATCCCTGGAAAAATTCTAAACTGTTTGGAAATAAAATAACTCACTTCTATATAACTAATGGGCCAAAGATGAAATTAAAAATGAAATTAGGAACTTTTTGCAACTGAATAAAAATGAAAATAGAAATTTCTGGTAGCCAGGTGCTGGTGACTTACACCTGTAATCCTAGCTACTAAAGAGGCAGAGATCAGGAGGACTGAGGTTCAAAGCCAGCCCGGGCAAATAGTTCTTGAGACCCTATCTTGAAAAACCCTTCACAAAAAAGGGCTGGAGTGGCTCAAGGTATAGGCCCTGAGTTCAAGCCCCAGCACCACAAAAAAAAAGAAAAGAAAAGAA